CAGTTTCTCTTAGATATTTCTAGGTCTCCTTGTTCAACCTTATCTTTTTGCTAACCAGATTTGCTGTTCTAAAATTGAACAGTTGGATTTGTTAAAGTATCTGGGAACTGCTGTGCTGCAGTCTGGTTTTCCCATTTCTTTGAGGTGGGAATATGTTTTCTGTAGAGAGATCGAGATAGCAGTTTTCAGTCCTCTCTTAAGTGCTATGATCATGGGGACATTTGTGGCAGAGTGGAAATGCCCATGATCAGCCAGCTGCTGGTTCCCATAGCCTTTGTGTTTGTGCCGGAAAAGTTCTTCCTGGGAATACAGCAGACTGGAGGTCCCACACCTGCTCCTGCTACCGCCATCCTGTGCTTCCTGGACTTCTCAATGGAGGCAGGGTGTGGGACTTTGCTTCTTGGGGTTGTTACATGTAGGGCAGCTCCTAGCTTCTTTACCCACCCCCATTTTCATAGCATTGGTGGTATAGGCTTCCCTGCTGTCTCAGGTCTAGATTTTAAATTTTAATCAAAAATTTTTAAAGAATGTGAGTACACTGGCATAGCTCTCCATGCAGATGCCCCTTGGTGTTTGTGAGGGACTGGTTCCAGGACTTCTGTCTTATGACAGAGTTCTCAGAGTGTCAAGGCCCCTTTCTAAAATGGCATAGTCTTTGCATATAACCTCCCATATGCTTTAAGTCTTCTCTAGAATAGGTATAATACCCTTACCAACGTAAATACTAAGTAAATAGTTGCTATGCCTTAGTGTTTAGGGATTAATGACAGAGAAAAAAGCCTGAAGATGGTACAGATATAATTATTTTCCAAATATTTTCAATCCAGGGTTGGTTGAATCCGTGGATGTGGAATGTAGGGATTGGAAAGGCCAACTGTATGTATAGTTTGGAGGAGGCAGGCCTTTGTAAAGTCATTTGGAAAGTGAATTAGGGAGAAACTTCAACCAACCAACCTCCCTCCCTTCTTCCTTTCCTCTTTTCATTCTTTATTCAAAAATAAAAGGGGCTGGAGATGTAGCTTAGTAGAATACTCTTTTAGTATGCATGAGCTCCTGGGTTCAATCCCCAGTAACACACACACACACACACACACACACACTCTCTCTCTCTCTCTCTCTCTCTCTCTCTCTCTCTCTCTCTTTCTCTCTCTCTCTTTCTCTCTCTCTCTCTCTAACTTGCAGAAATACCATTTCCAAGCAATCACAGCATGCCTGTGGTCCCATGTCTGGTGAGTCTGGTCAGTGTCTCTTGGAAAGGCCCTGGAGACCAGGCCTGGATCCTGATAGTCACAGCTGTACCTTAGGTGTCAGGTTAAGTGTCATGTTGCTTTGTTCACTTTACAAAGTGCCCCGTGGATCCTTCCTTACTTAGTATGCAGTAGCAGTGTGTATTTTTATTTTCTTTTGTTTTAATTGCAAAGGCTGGCTGGGCCCACAATGTGAGTTTGGGGCTGCTGTTTGTCCTCGTGTGGTGACGCTGTGTCTCCTGACATGATTATGAGGAGCAGCACTGACGTGTTTCTGTGAAGGCTGCTCACATCAGTTCATCAGAGGGCTTTGCACTTTAGATGAGTGCTTTGCACGAGAGCAAGGACTCAAATACAAACACAGTGACTCCATGTCACTCTGCCCTTGAGGCCTGGGTCTCACGGTGAGGGCTGTCCCATTTATCACCAGGTGACTACTCTAAGGTCTTTGAGGACATTTAGTAAAGGTTCATACCAGGGAGTGGATAGGAATTGGAGAACTACATCTACATGTTCTGTCCTGCTCCTTAGGCCCATGAAGAGACAGACTTGCCCAGGGTAGAATCAGCTAGGCTTAGATTTGGAAAACCCAGAAAAATATGAATCCTTGTCCCAATTCTACCACACCTATCATTGTCTTAGGCCTCTGGGCAGCAAGATATAGAACCCAGGATTCCTGGTATCAAGAGTACAAGTTCTTCTCAAGCAAGACTGGATAGAGTTTAGAGAACCTGACGATTGGAGGAGGGAGAGACAGGGTAAAAAGGTGAAAGGAATTTAAGTTCATGGGGAAGCAGATTGGGTAGTTCGAGGCCTTGGTGGTAGGAGGACCCTGCCTAGTTCTGTTACCTGTCCACTTGGGGCTTGATTCTGTGCATGGAGCAGTATGCATGCATGTGGCTAAGCTACACACTATTGTCAGGCACATGTAGGTACATGGTTTGTTTTTTTGTTGTTGTTGTTTGTTTGTTTTTCTTCTAGTACCAGGAATCGAACTTATGACCTTGCGCTTGCCAGGCAGGTGCTTTGGTGCTGAGCTAAATCCCCAGCCCACGTGTAGGTACATGGAACTGGGCTGGTATTGAAGAGCTGAGTTGAATAAACTTATCTTTGTATTGAACCATTGTGATAGAACCAATTTTGTGATAGAAGAGTATAATTTACCTTTACCTGCAAGGTCATCTGGATGGAAAAGCTGAAGATACATCTGGAAGACTGTGGAAGGTTTGCAGTATGCTACTGTCCATCCAGTAGCACCAGTTGAGCCTTCCTAGAGTAGAGATGCCAAGCCCCACACTTGCCCCTACAGTGTGAGTACTAGGATGGGATAGGTAGAAGGATTCTCTGTACTGGATCCTCTTCCACTTGGAGGGGGTTAATGAGGTAGTCACAGAAGTTTCTAGAAGACTAGAACATGTTCTGTCCTCTAACTGGTAGTTGTGGATTATGGTTACCAGTTGGGGGCTCCATGTTGTTTAATTTCTTGGTCTAGAGCATCTGGAGAAGGCAGGCACAGACCTGTGGGTTTCAGAAACATCTAGTGGGCTGGTGTTTCCTTCCGTGTGTCTAAGGACTTCAGAGCTCTGAGATCTGAATCTGCTAACCTGTCAGCAAGCGTGGGGATGTGGAGTTACTGGTAAGGGCTCCCCCTTGCATATTTAGCTTGGTCCAAGAGTGGAGTTCTCCCAGATTCCAGTAAGGCAGTGGCCACTTCAGAAACTCCAGGTGCTCCTTCCAGGCTAGAAAACATCAGCACAGTTTGAGGAGGAGATTGATACAAGTGTTGAGGTTCTTGTGTGTACTGTTTTTGGAGTCCCTGTCACAAAGAGACCTTGACCTGCCTTAGAAGATTTAAGATTCCTGTACACTTTCTATTCATGTCAAACTGATGATTCTGAACTAGTGTGGTAGGCAACATCACTCAGCTGTTGGGATCTGAATTTCTTTGTATATTTCATTTTTCAAAAGAGTTGCAATTTTTGTGGGGGTAAATATGCTTTTTGCCAGACTTCCCAGTTTTAACATATAGTGCCTGTTTGGGTTGGGCATTGTGGTGTTTCTTGCCATTGTGCTGCTTGATTCAGGATTTATTATCAATCTGTTTCTTGCCATCATGCGACTTGATTCTGGGTTTATGTCTTTGCACAAGCCCCCCTCCCATTCCCATCCCCCACGCAAGATTTTGCCAGAGCAAGCAGTTTCATTGGTCACTGGGTTGCCTTTTGGCACGCTGGGAGTTCTTCTTATAATAACAGGACAAGGCGGGAGGGACTGATTTCACCCTCTTCATGGAAGGGGAGTAACTCAATTGACATTCTGTTATAATTTAGCAGTCAGTTAATGGCCACTTACTGGAAAATGTTACTAGGCTCTGCGTGAATGTTGTTAGAAACTGAGTTACTCTGTGTATTTCCCCAGGGCCCATTTCCCCCTCAGCCTAGAGTAGAAGTGTGGAGCTGCAGGAAGTGGCATTGTGTTGCAATCACAGCTTCATTGTTCCTTCATACTATTTATTTTGTATTTCAAAAATAATTATATTCCTTTTAATGAACTAAGACTTGCCAGGAGCCCAGGGAAGACACAGGGGTTACTGGGTTCTGTGCTGGGTAGCTCCTGCCTGAGAGTGCCCAGCAACGTCAGTATCGCCTGTGATTTGAGTCCCTTTAAACCTACCTCGACCTTCTTGTCTTTACCCATGGAGTGATTTCAAACAGCCCTTCATTTCTCTTGGCTTTGTAAAATTACTTACTTTGTAAAGCCTTTGATAGGCTGCAGAGGTGAAAGAATGTGAGTTTATTGGCTGTATAATCCTGGACAATTCACTTAACCTCTCTGAGGCTTTCAGTATTCTTACTTCTTGGCAGACAGGGAGATGGGTTCCCAGGGGTGGGGGAATGAATGAAATTGTGTGAATGGAGGCAAGTGACACACAGCCTGGAGTTGCTAAACCCTGATCAAAAGTTTCCTGCCTCTCTTACTTGCCAGTATAAAAATAAAATAGCAGCAACAGAATGGTCTCATTTGTTGGGTTCGCCTGTGGGAGCTGCATGGTGGAGCAACGGAGCTTCTCCATCAGTTTTCTTTTGGCCCAGGGAAGTCTTTGCCCTTCCCTTTCCACACAAGGAAGACAGATTTTTATAGAGGTCAACTTGACTGTGAGTCCTTTGGAAGGAATTAATTAAAGGGGTTCTGGGTACAGCAATATTCAGTGGATGAAGTGTAACTCCTCGCTGGGGCCAGACCAAGAGGCCCCTCTTCCTTAGCCTGCGGGTGGACAGCTTGTTTCTGGTGGATGGTAGGAAGCATATTGCCTCCAGCTGTAATGTCATTTTGGGTGGGTTGGTCTCCTTCCAGAGGACTCCACACTGGGATGGTCACAATATTCCATTTCTGGGTCATGTTTTCAGATCCTTGGGCCCACTAGGGATCTCAGTCATTTCTGAAGTAAATGAAATAATTGTCACCAGCCTCCCACTTAATTGCTGTGGCTGCTGCTCCTCTTTTCCCTAAATGAGCAGAGGAAGTCCACTGGGGCACTTGGCAGCCTCACTACTTGATGGCACCAGAGCCTGGATTTTTGAGGTCTGGTGGATTCCACAGCCTTTCCTTCTGTGCCCCAGTCTGGACTGCATCCCTAGGCCCATCTTGCAGAGACACTGGGGGAAGTGGGCAGCTTGCTTGCTGGACTCCACACTCCACTGGCTCACACTAACATGGCTGTGGCTTGCTTCTGTTTCCTTCCTCCCTCTCCAGAGTACAAGAAGAAGTATGGCGAGGAACATGGCTCCTGCCAGGCAGGGATGGCGGGCTTCTTCACTGAGGTATGTATCAGCCATATGGCCATATCTCTTCTTTTCTTGGTCTTCATATCCTTACTATGATTTTGGTGACCCATGAAGTGAGACTTCTGGTGTTCCAGATATGCAAACCGTGGCTGAGGAGATTCTGGTCCTTACATCATAAAGGTTATTTAAGCCTGGTGGGGGCACCAGTTGGCCAGAGTCCATTGGGCAGAGGGAGGTGGGCTGGAGATTTTGGTAGAGGTCAACTTGATTCTGAGCTCTTTGGAAGGAGTTGATTAAAGGGGCTGTAGGTGCAACAGGTGGGCCCCACTGGCAGTTGTGAACACACGTCAAACATACAAGTATTGCAGTGAGGTCCCATGAGACACAGTGCTATTTCTTTTTTCAAAGTCTGAAGGACTCTACACTTGAATGTGTCTGTTGAGCAGCAACATTTTTAGGGACTGTTTTCTTATGAGATTCTAATCTGTGAGTTTGCTCTTCACTCTTCATTCCACAAACATTTTTGTGTTTGCCTGCTCTGTGCAGTGTTCCTTGCTAGGCTTTGTACGTGTCACCATCGACCACTGAGTTGCGTAGACTAAACACAAAAAGTACTTTAATTCTAGTTCATCTAAAATCTTTAGTTTTAACCTCCAAAACATATTCCAGATGACAAATTTTCTTTATTACCACCATCGCCTCCTGACCACCACTGGGCTTCTTAAAAAGCTATTACCATCACTTGGAGATACACTGGCCCTGAATTGGTCTCTCTCAGTCTGTTAAAGAAAATCTGTGGTCAGATATAGATAATGTAAAATTTCCCATTTTAACCATTTTAAAGTATACAGATCAGTGACATTTCCATTGTCATACAATGATCACCATTACCTAGCTTTCAACTTTTTGTTGTTGTCCTGGAACTTGAACCATGGCTTTGCACATACCAGGCAAACACTCTATTGTGGAGCTACACCTGTAGCCCAAGTTTTAGAACATTTTCATTGCCTCAACCTGTGTCCATGCTAGACCCCCTACCGTCTGTTTTCTGCACACAAGCCCAAGGGATCTTTAAAGTCAAACCCATCATTCTGACTCTGTGACTTCTCATTACATGTGCATTTAAGACCCAGATTCCACCTCTTGGTCCATGGGCCTAATTATCTGGGGACTTCCTCCTTCAATCCAAGATAGCAGAGAGCTGGAGGAGAGAGCAGGACTTGAAAGGAGGAGGGAAGGTGGATTGTATTCTGCTTTTGAAAACTTTCTGAAGAGTGTCCTTTTGAGCTAGGAAGTTTACTTTCATGTCAGAAGCTATAGTTTCACGAGAAAATAGGCAGTTGGCAATAGTATTTAATCTAGAGAACAAAAAAGGAAAGGTAGAAAGTCAGAAATCTCATCCTTTACTCGTAAGCCAACAAGTATGAGATGCTTCCCTCCAACTCCACCTTCAGTAATTCTCAGGTCCATTAACATTGGTGTCATTTTAACAGCTATACAGCACTCTGTGCTAGGTTCCATGAATGGAACCCCCAATCATCTGAATTGTTGGGGCCAAAACTAAAAAGATTCTTCTTTTATCCACCCTCTCCTACCATCAGCCACCAACAAGTCTGACCTCTCAGTCCCTTAAAACCAACATAGAGGCATTCATTTCTCTCCATGTGCTCTACTACTCCACAAATCTAACCCACTTCAGAGCCCTCCTGTTATCCTGCTTCCACTCTCCCTCCTGTCAGATGAGTCCCAGAACCATCTTCTACAAATAAGAAAGGTGTCATGGTGCTCCATGCAGAGAACTTCCCAGTGTCTTCCTATCCACTTACAGTGAAATCCAGATGCCTTTTCTGGAATGGGTTCCCAGGCCCTGGCCTCTCCTGACTCACTGCTTGCCAGACTCAGTGGCTGCCAGAACGTGCCACACACCAACTGCAGCACTGCACACCAGCTGGAGACACACGCGCATGCACACACACCCCCTCTCGTGCTTAAGCACACATTTCTTTAGAAGAGATGTGGTAGAGTCCAGAAGTACTCAGAGTTGGACTTTTGATGCATTCTTGCACTTTGCATTCCAAAAATGTTTGCTAATTAACAACCCCCAGGTCTCTCCCAGCATTCTCTTACAAACAGATTAAAATTTTGTCACTGAAAAAAATCTCATTTTATTTTAATGTCCCACTATTTGGTTGTGAGTGTAATTTTAACCTCTTTTTCAAGAATTGGCCATTTGTATTTTTCCAAAAATTTCTTGTTAATGTTAGTTCATTGCTTTGGTTTTATTGTGGTTATTTTATTGATTTGTGGGAACTTAGAAGATACTTTACACTAACTTCTTATATCTGTTGTACAAACATGTTTTTAAGCCAGTTTTTTTTTTTTTTTGCCTGTTTTCTCAGTGTGCTCATGGCATCTTTATTGTACTGGCCTTAAACATTAGTGCTTTACCAATCTGTCTTTTTCTTTTTATGGATTATAGATCTCTCTGTTACTTAGGAGGAGAACCATGCTCTAAGAATATAAAAATATCGATCTATATTTTTTTCTAGTACTTTCATAGAGTTTTTTTTCCTAGTACTGTAAATTGAAACTAGGGGTTCTCTCCACTAAGCTCTATCCCTGGCTCTTTTTTAAAATTTTGGTATAAGGTCTCATTAAATGACCCAGGCTGGTCTTAACTTGTGATCTTACTGCTTCCGCCTCCTGAGTAACTGGCATCATAGGCATGTACCACCATGTCTGGCTGAATAGGTTTTTGGTTTTTTAAAATTTGTATCTTTAATTTTTTGAAATTGATTTTTATGTATTTTATATAGTGGAAACTACATTGTTTTCATGAATGTATGGTTGATTGTTTTGACACTGGTTGGTTAACTCAGTTTTTCCTATCACCATTGATTTCAAATACTGTTCTGCCATTTGCTGACTTCACACTCTTCCCTCTCAGTAAGCATGTAGAGTGTGTAGCTTCCATGGGTGCTGTTCCTCCAGTAGGTCTAGTGAAGTATGATGTGACTCAGTAGGCAACAGGAGTCACTGTGCATTCACAAGCAGGCAGCCTATTGGTGTTGTATGAAAGGCTATTTGGGTTGGATGACCAGGACTTTGGAGGGCCTGGATGGAGGCCATGTAGGAGCCCATGATGTAGTTCAGCCATGACGTAACAGGGTGACACATTAGAAATAAAAGAGATTGTGAGAGTCAGAGAAGTGAGGGGGCTGGATGACTAGGGCACTGTGGGTAGAAGAAGGAGGTTTTACATAGGTTTCTGGAGAATTCTATTGTCCCCACTAGAAAGAACCCTCAGGATAGGTAGACTGGCACAAGTATGAGATACTGGGCCATTTGTATAGCTGCTTCTAGGGTATAAATAAGTGTAGCACCTGGCTTCCAGCTTGAGCTGGCAAGTTAGGTTTATCCTTTACTGGTAATTCTGAGGGAATGAGTGTGCTCAGCATGAGGAGATATGTTGCCATAGATAATGGGAGGAGAGAATTAATTCCTGGCAGAAATTGAAAGTCAGTGAGATATTGATGGAAAACCAAGCTTGTTAGTCAGCTTTTTGTCACTGTGACACAATACCTGAGTAAAACAACTTGAAGGAACAAGAATTTATTTTGGCTTATGGTTTCAGTCCATGGTTAGCTGGCTCTAAAAGAGAAACCTGATGGTGGATGGGTGTGTTGGAAGAAAGCTGCTGATCCTGGTAGCCAGGAAACAGAGACAGGGAAAGAGTAGGGGGTGGAGAGAGAGGGGCTGAGGACAAGAATACACCCTTCTAGTCCCCAGTGATGTACTTTCTCCATCCAGGCCCCACCTCCTAATAGGCTGTTTAGCTATATTTAGTGCTCCATGATAGAATCACCTTCTGAAAGCCTCACTTCTAAATACATGAGCCTTTTGGGTGGCATTTCTTAAAATCGAAACTGTAGGACTGAGAGAGAGAGAGCAAGAGTTTTGGGGAGGGAGATGTTATTGTGGTCCCACTAGCCTGCCAGTCAGGAAAGACTAGGGGCTGTGTGGAAGGAGGTCTTGAGAGTAGGAGCAGGAAGGGAAGAGCGGTGGATGGGAAGGGTATGTGGCTGTGCAAACTTGGAGCAACCAGAAGATGAAAGGACCAGTTGAAATGCCAGAACCTGAGGAAACAGTGGCATATTCTGGCTCTGTTCATGACAAATAGAAGTGGAAGATTAGTTTAGGGTGCCAGGAGAGAGGCAGTGGCGAGTGGGAAAACAGCCCCTCCTGCCGTTGCCCAATCCTCTGTCCCCAGCCCGCTGTCTCTTGGCCCATGTGGGCTTTGGCCTCTGCTTTGGTTCCCAGGCTTTTGACCTCTTTAAACAAAGGTCTTTGAACTTGCTGCTTCCCTCATTTCTGGAACTTCAGCTGCTTGAAACTGAGCAGGAAATGTGGCTGAAGGGGTCATACAGGAACTATACCCCTCCTCTGCCCTTCTGTTGACCTTGTCACTTAGCCTTGCTTTTGCCGTGAACTGGTCTGTCCCCTCACAGGACTGACAGCTCACAGGATAGACAGGATAGACAGCAGCTTGCCAAACTGCATGAGCTTTTTTTGCCTTCTGGACATGGCCATGTTGGCCTAAAACATTCTGACTCAAGCTACCTGCTGGATCTGCAAGTCAGTGATCCTGTGGTTATCAGAGCTGAGTTATGGAGACCACATGGATTCTAACCTCTCACTGAGGATAAGGGAGAATTTCCTAGGAACTTTGTTTTTGTAGGCTAGAATAACAGAAGTGATAGATACTCCTAAGCAACCAGAGAAGAGCTGGGCAGCCCCACAAATTGGGACATCTGGGTGGAAATTTTCTCAGCATAAGCTTCTGTCCTGGTCGTGCTGATATGTGGTATGCAGAGCAGGGCCCATGCCTTTGTTCAGGCCCACTCAGATGTCCCTGCACTTCTGGAGATGCTACTAATAAGTGCATTCTTGAGAAAAGGCCTGCACTGCTTACTCAGAGGGGCTTAAGAATGTGATTTAGGGAGTGATGGCCTTCGCTTGTGGAGAAGCTTGCATTTACGTGTGTAGCATTGGTATTGGCTATTTTTTGGGTGATAGGGAGCTAAGCATTGATTGCATTTTCCTGCCATTCGTGAACAGCACCGAGAAATGCGCATGCATCATCCATAGTGAACAGAAAAAGGCAAATATAAGGGACTTCCAGGAAGACACTTCTCAGCCCGGCCCTGAGGGTCACAGGCCCAGCCCTGTTCATCCAGTTTGGACAGAAGCAAAAGGCGAGTGTGACCCCTAAAAGGAAGGGGAAAAAACAAGAACTACTGTATTTGTTTCAAACATTTTTTAAGGAAAGAGGTTGCTTTGCTTCTTTTGTACTGGGAATTGAACCCAGGCCCTTACACAGGCTGGGCAAGTGATCCCCCACTGAGCAGAACCCCAACGTAACATTGCTTTGTTTTGTTCTCTTTAGAAGGTTTGAAAGGTGGTGAGCAGTATGCTAGACAGTCATGTTTCAACTTTATCCTGCAGTAACTTGCATCAGAAGTGGTATGCCCAATCCCTGGTGGCCTGACAAACTACTTCTCAGAACTTTGGTTTATAAAACACTGCAGAGAGAGGAAGCACTGTGCTGTGTACACAACTGGTACTGAGGATATCCCTTAAGTTCTTTGGTGTCCTTTGAATGTGGGCACTGATTGCAAGTTCCTTTCCAAGCTCAGGCCAGGAAAAAGTCTTTATCCTCTGAAGAACTGATAGTTTGTCACCCTTTGAGAACTAGCATGGACCTGTACTAGTTCATGGGCTGAGCCTGTGACCCTCAGGGCCGGGCTGAGAAGGAAGTGTCTTCCTGGAAGTCCCTTATATTTGCCTTTTTCTATTCACTATGGTGTGTGTAAGGAGAGTGAATCAGTAAGTGAATGTGTGCACACACACTCCACTCTGTTTTTCCAGTGATGAGTACAGAAAGCCATCTATTTTTACAAAACAGAGAGGCTCCTCTGAGAACATCTGGCTTCACAATAGTGGCTCCCTTTGAGTTGTCTCAGAGGGCCATGAGGCCTTGAATAAAGTATCTGTCAGTCGTCACTTCTGGCCCATGCCCTTGTGAGTTGTCAAAAGTAGACCATCTTGGCTGAAATCCACCTGGGCTCTTTTTCTCCCCACGGTGCTCACACCCTAGTCCCCAGATTGGCTGTAGCACACAGGTGATTGCCCGCTCGTCTGCAGGCACTGTCTTCCTCTCCCTCATTTTCTCTTTAGATGTTTCTGGCTTTTGCGGCATTTACCTCCTAAGAATCGTGGGGTGACTATGAATTGTCACCAGATACTCAGTATTTCTGTGGTGGGATCCAGCCTCCAGGAACTTGCGAGAAACCCACTGCTTTTGCCAGCCTGGAGCATGCTGTTTCTGTCATATATACCAGTGTTTGTGGTTGGGGAGGAGTGTACTTAACCACAAGAGACATGTCCTATGTAGTATCTCTCATCTCCACAAGGCTACATGGCCTGCACCTGTGGGGTATTTTGTACAGCTGAGGAGTTTTCTCTAAAAATTGTGCTTATTTTAACTCTTTTGAACAGATATTTATGTAAAATGTCTTGCACATTTCCATGTTACCTATCCCCAAAATGTTGTATGGATGAACTTTTATCTTTGTGTGTAGCATGAACTCTAGATAGAGAGACAATAGTGGATAGGTGGTAAATATTGTTGGGTAAAAAGTTTAATGATTTTGTTAGATAAATAATTTTTATTTCTTTTGGCAGTGTAGATACTTTACAAAATATATAAAAAAGAAGGGATTCTTTGTTATGGAAGGAAGGACCACAAGCCTTAGCCAGGGCATCTAGTGGATGCGAGGACTGCTGTCCTTCTGCCTACCCCTGCTCAGCATCAGCATCTCAGGGCCTATAGAGTGTCGTCTCACAGGCCTGTTTTGTGTTGTACGACATGTCTTCCTTGTCTGTGTTTAATCACTTTCCTGGAATTTTTAAAAAGCAAGTGTATTATCTTTAATCCATATAATAAAACACACCCCTTTTCTTTCTTTAAGTAATTTATTTATTTTCAGTGTAGGGATTAAACCCAGGCCTCCACCAATGAGCTATACCCTCAGCCTAAAGGTATTTTCTTTTTTTTGGAGATAGGTCTCACAGGCTGGCCTCAAACACCTGGGCTCAAGAAATCCTCCTGCTTCAGGCTGCCAACTAACTGGGGCTACAGGTGCCTACCGCTGTGGTTGGTGTAACACACACCCATTTGAAATACAGAATTTACAGAGTTTTGACATATATGTATACAATTATTTGCACCTCAGTTAAGATTAGAACATTTCCATCACCCGGAGGTTTCTCATGTTCCATGTGTAGACAGTTCTTGCCCTCTTATCCGAGGTAACCACTAGTCTGAATTCTGTCACCATAGTATTCATTTTGCAAGTTCTGCAACTTCACATGAATGGGATCATAAGACATACTGTATTCTTTCCCATCTAATTTTGTCTAGCTAAGATGTGGCCCCATTTTAGCTGGACTTTGAAGACTGAGAAGGGGTTGGTTGAGCAGAGGAAGTCTGAAGGTATTGCAGGGATGGAGATTAAAACAGCAGTCTGCTGAGAAAACCCCAGCTGGCTGAGAGTGCCCAGAGTCTGAGGGGGAAATGGCAACAGAGAGCCCCATATGGCTGGGAGGGTTGACAGTGCTGAATTTTACGGGAGCCCAGTGCTCTTGGAAAAATCTATTCTAGAATTTTGACAAATACAGAGACAATAAACTTAGAGGATGGAAAGAAGGGATTTCTATAAGCCCACTGCTCACTGTGGGAGGGGAGAGAAACAAATATTTTAGAACTTACCTTTCTGGTCTTCGTGTGTTTGCATTCATGGTTTTTTTTTTTTTTTCTTCTTTTAAAAAACATCAATGGCATACACTACGGGGTACCTTTTTGTTTTAACTGAACAGCACTTTGTTTCTATCAGTAATGCCAGTAGGTCTTCTACGGTATTTTTAATGCTGCACAGAATTCTGTTGAATTCATATACCATAATTTAGAATCCTCATTGTTAGATGTTCAGGGTGTTTCCATCTTGTTTTAAACTTCTATGCAGATGATTAATCCCCTTGTGGGTAAAGTCATGCAGCTATGCGTGCTGAGTTCCTTAGATAATGGAATCATTTTGGAGCATTTAGGATTAGGTGGTTCTGCAGCACAAACAGGCTCTCGGCCCTGTTGCAGATTCAGGGACATTTTCTGTAATGCTGAAAACTGTGCCTCTTGCTTTCTTGTCTCTTGATGCCTCTGGTCTCTTTCTAGTTTATGTCCTAGTTGGCCTCTCGAGTCTCTTGCTTTTGTTCTTCTCACTTTGCAGTGGGCTACAGTGGTCAGGAAAAACAGGCCTTAGAACCATTCCAGAGATCAGAGAGCGCCTGAGTGATTTCCGTGTGTTTTTGGCATGCAGTTTTTGCAAAGCTTATTTTGGTCGCTGCTTTATTTCTGATGTGCATCAGGCACCTGTAGTTGGTGGACAGTGAGGCTGGAGCCCAGGCTGGCTAAACTAATGCTATCTTTTCATGAGTATTATTCCCTGAAATTCTGTGGTTGAGAAAAATGTCAATTGTTTGCCATTTCCAGCTTCTTGATGTGAAGTTGAAATTATGTACAGCCCCATCTTGGGTATGGTAGGGACCTGGTGTGTCACTCACTGTGTCCACTTGTTTAGTTATCTTCATATCTTTAGTCATGGTTATCTCAGCCCTATGATAGATTCAATAGTGCCAGGAAATCTGGTGAAATGTTTATAGCTAAGATGATGAAAAAAGGGCTGGGGATTTAGCTCAGTGGCACAGCGCCTGCCTAGCAAGCGCAATGTCGTGAGTTCAATTCCCGGTACTGGAAAAACAACAACAACAACAAAAAAAGATGATGAAAAAATTGCTGGTGAAGTATGTTGAATTTAATTCTGAGTTTTTTGTTGTGACTGTCATGCTCACTGCATCCCCCAATCCATTCTTTAGCTTCCCTGTTTTCCTTTGGATTTCTTTCTGTAGGAGCTGGTGGTAATGGGTGCCCCAGGGTCATTTTATTGGGCTGGAACGGTCAAAGTGCTGAACCTCACAGACAACATCTATTTTAAACTGAATGATGAAACAATCATGAATCGGAGGTATACTTATCTGGGTAAGTAGCTGGGAACATGACAGGTAATAAAAGGGAAATGGAAGCGATTACAACCAAAGTCAGGAATTACTGCTTTATTAATGGGAAGTTGTCTGATTAGTTTTTTTCTGCTAGAGCACCTTAACATCTAGCCACACACAGAAGGTAGGGAAGAAAGCAAAGGAGGGAATTGAGTTAAACTTGAGTGATTTATTTAGAAAGCAAACAGTTTGAGCCTCTAGGGCAGCAATCGTTTTATTTCTTCATTTCAGCAGGTACTCAAGTTCACATGGTCAGATCCAAATGAGTGGTGAAGGATCTTAGTTTTTCTGTGACATCCCTTTGGGTGGGGCCTCTGCTTCCTGGTGACAAATGAGTGTAATAAGGACCAGAAATGATCATGACAGATGGCATTCTAATGCTGAAGTTTGGTTAAAAGCTCAGAAAAATTTCCCTTATTTTGGTAAACCTTTTTAGTATTCTAGAAAGATGATATCTATAATTTAATGTAGCAGCCATCAGGTAGCAGTCACGTTGGGACAAAGCCATACCCATTTCAGAACAGAGATAGACCATAGACCATCTTTGCTTAGCATGTAAATGACTATTACAAGACTCAATTCATGCTCTAAATGCTATACTTTTGGATTGAAAATAAAGCTAAATTCAGGAAAACCTAATAATGACAAAACAATGCTTTTTCACACTCACTGCTTTTGACTTACATCAGAGGAATCTCCTGGCCCCTTTTTGTATAGAGTTGCTGGGAATTTCCTTGCTAGGTAGCAGTAGGGAGTTGGTGACGTGTCTTTTCCTTTCTGACTCCAGGTGGTTGCCCAGTAGCACAGACCCAACAGTATACTTACTGAGTCTTTGAGGTATTTGTCCTTGTGCTCATCCAGTCCTCAGTGCTGTCATTTATTAAGCGTTTACTCTGTACCTGGCGCTGTGTATTATTTCTTTTAATTCCTGAAGCAACCTTGTAAGGTAGCTATTATAATCATTCACATTTTATAGGTAAAGAAACTGAGGTGCACAGAAGTTATGTACCTGCCCAGGTCACATGTCTCATAGTAGCGAAGTTGGGTATAAAGCTCTGGTTTCTGATGAAGGGTTCAACGCTGAGCTGCCTCTCCAGTGTACATTGCTGAGACAGCACTTGTCATTGATACTGAAACCCTGGTGAGACTGCTAGCACCTTGAAGTGGGATTTTGTATCACATTCCCAGGACTTACTGTGGTGCCTGGTGTATAAGTAAAAACTCAACATGTGTATGTTGAATCAGAAAATGAAGAAAATGAGGAAGATAGCCCAGTTTGGATGGTGACAGGTTCTGTGCATCTTGGGGCCTGGGGTTTTTCCCTGTGTGCAAAACAGAGGCCCTTAGCTGTCACTCATGATTCTTGGAGGCAATATGAACTGCCGGTCTGAGAGAAGTCAGCCACATGGAGAGCTGAAATGGATCACTGCATGATGAAAATTAATATGTGTCATCACAAAACGTAACTTACAATCATAGCTTAAAGGTTTGAGGCCGATGAAAATGTTTAAGGAATGTGTGGCAACTTGTCCAGGGTTTCTGCTGGTCCAAAGAGTGCTTCAGCCTGCCAGGAAGGTACTTGGAAGGCAGGAGTCATTTTGATTAAGCTCAGATGACTTTTCCCTTAGTTTCTAGATCTTTTTGTATTCAGATTCTTGACTGTCCGACTGGCTCTTCATCATGAGTCCTTTGTCAGCTTCTTTCACCTTTTCTGAGGAAGAATATGACATAATGGCTAGCAGCAGGGGCTATGAAGTCACATTTTATAGGTAAAGAAACTGAGGATTTGAATCTTGCTATGTGATCTTGGGGACAGATTTGAATCTTGCTATGTGATCTTGACAGATTGGATTTGAATCTTGCTATGTGATCTTGGGGATTTTTTTTGCCATGTTTTGCCCATTTCCAAATCTATAAAATGGAAGAATCAATCATATGAGGAGAATCAATCATAGCCTCTTATACTGAAAGAAGTAACGACACCCAAAGATATATATAAAATATTCATAGCAATTTTATTCATAATCGCTTCAGTTTAAAATCAGATACCCAGGAACAAGAGAATAGAGATGTGCTATATGTATAACACAGCATATCACTCAGTGACAGAAATAGATTACTACATGCAACAAGACAAATCTAGTACATAGTGATAGATATCAGAATGAGGACTACCTATGGGTGATACTCACCAGGACAGGCCATGAGTGAACTTCCTGGGTTATGGTTGTGTGTTATATTCACTTTTTTATTGTGCTGGGGAGTGTACCTAAGGCCTTGTACATGCTAGGCAAGTGCTCTACTGCAAAGCCTTTATGTTAACTTCATTGATCTGGGTGTTATGTAATGTACACAAACCCATTACATTCTACACTTTGCTTATGTTTAACACAATATGGGTCCCAAAGAGGACATTCAGAAAATACTCCTTTTTGTCCCAATGTCCATATGAACATGCCTATTTGTGAGATGAGCCATATAAGCATGAGAAGACTGACAGCTGCCATTTGTTCCCTGCTAATTTAAGTTCCCAGAATAACTGCAGTATGATGTCCAGAGAGGGGGCATACTTGAGAAACTTTTTCCTTTGGTGTGAATTTTTCTTCCACGAGCATCTTTATCCAGCCTGTCCTTGTTTCTACTCATCCTATTCAGGTTATGCAGTGACCGCTGGCCACTTCTCTCACCCATCCAGCACTGATGTGGTTGGAGGTGCCCCGCAGGATGAAGGCATTGGAAAGGTGAGGAGAAAACCCTGTGGTATGAGACAGAGCTGACAGAAGTGGGGAGCATCTGCCCCTGTTATAGATGTTTGCAAACTGACTGTGCCCTGAATATTCTTATAGGTTGTTAGTGATACAACAGTGAGGACGCTGTGACAGTCCCCATCTAAGTCACTTTCGAGAGTTTATTGTAAAAGCTTAGTTAAAATGTGAATATTATTAACACTGTTCATTCTCTGCACATTCTCCTCTGAGACTTTTGCAGTTGATTTGGGGTGTGCATTATTCTAGAAGACTATTCTTTATGGTGCTTTACCTTCCTAAGCTCTTTCAAGATTTGGCTTTGGCTTCACGGAATCAAATTAGTCCCAGGTATCTTTATTATTTAAAAATTTTTATTAAAATGTTTTTTTGAGACAGGGTCTCACTGTGTGGTTCAGGCTGGTCTTGAACACACAGTGATCCTCCTGCCTCAGCCTCCCAAGTGCTGGGATTATAGGCGTATGCTCCAGATATCTTTAGAAGGTTTTTTAGTGCCTGAATTCTCATTTATTTCCCCAGTCTTTTAGGAGGAACCATGAGTTCCCACGATTTGTGGAGCCCAAGGCTGGCTTGGGAGTATGTGGAGCCCAAGGCTGGCTTGGGAGTACTTAGACTTTCTCTAAGTATCTTCCCAGAATGTAGAACAGACCCTATGGATCTAGGGATGAATTCCTTGGGGAATCATGGCCTCTTAGGGCCTAAATTGTGGAGAACTATGCTTATTAATTATTTAGCTTCAGGGTGCAAGAACTCTGGTGAGAGAGATCCAGATGGCTCAGGAATCTGTTTTTAACAAGGTCTGTAGGTCTTCTGGTGGAAAAGACTAAACAGTGGTGTGAACCACCCTGTGCCCTTAGGGGCTGGCCTGCAATAAAGTCTGCTGTACTTTCCATGGCTTAGGAAAGTGGGATCTGGATTCTATAGAGACCCAGATGGCCTGAGATCACTGTTAATGGGAGCTTTCAGCCAGGATACCAAGAGGATCAGGGAACTAAAGAATCCGGCTGGCTGGCATGATTGAAGAATATTTACAAGGGTCATTTCTGTGGATCTTCATGGGTAGGAGTCAGGAACCCTTGCTGTTATTTCTGGAGCATGTCCCTTTCTCTTCTGTAGTGCTTGTGGATGGAGAGAGGTCCTTTGAGAACAAAACCAGATAAACCAAGACTGTAAGCAGGTGAACTTTTGATAACTTCAAGAAAAGGTTGGATTTTTCTGAATCACATGAATTCCTCTAAGTGGCGGGAGGAGAAGCACTGTGCATATTGCTGAATTGATGTTATCTTCCGGGGAGGGGCTGTATGCCACCAGCCTCTTCATGGTGTCAGTGAAAATGCCTACTCCCAGTTCACAGCAGTGCAGATGCTCTGTACTGGTGACAGTGGCTTTCTTTTCTTGATAATTACAGAAAAACTCAATTTGATTTTATTGTTTCTCTTTAAGATAATTGTGATGACCACATTGCTCCTGTCAGGTCTTAGGACAAGAATGATATTTATAACTGATAGAGGCAGCCAGAGGGAGTCCTGGATCCAGTTAACAAAAGGAACATGAATGCACTTCTTACAGTTGCATGACCTGAGAGGAACTAGGGAAACTGGTTAGAGGTGACAAAGTTACTGACTGTTCCACATTCCCAGGGATTAGAGCTCCCATAGATTTGATCTTTAAGGACCCCAGAATGGGCCTCTGACCTTCATATCTGGTATCAGAGCACAGAACCCTGTATGCTGTTATGACTGTTCCTTGCCTGGGGGAGGGGTCCCCTGCTCTGTTTCTCATGAGATAGTCTTTCTGTAAAGTTAACTTGAAAAAGAACAGTGAAATACATTTAGGAAATTAAATATCAATGGCATTCATCATTTAAATACTCATACCAAAGGTTCTGAAAAATTTGATAGGAAAGGAACTTATTTAATGTTTTTAAATGGTTTAAATTTGCATTTCCCAAATTAAACTTATATTCATCTAACTAGATTTCTTGGCTATAATATATGTGGAATCACTTTAGAAGACTTTTTTTTTGGTCTAAAATGCCCATCTCTACCCATTTGCCTTATATCTGTTAAAGCTCTAACTAATAGGATTAAAGAAACTATTTTAAGGAAAGAAATAGTATTTCTGAGAGTGGAATTGATAATTTGGAAGCTTCTAGATTGTGTATGACTTCTATAAATTCTGTGATTCAGGAGTAATGGAGGTAACTTTCACTTCAGGATTAACGGATACCCCCTGCAGAGTTAGTAACGTGAGAATTATGTTTACTTCATTAATATCAGCCAGCATAGGCACTCTTGCCATGTGCCTAGCTTTTAAATAGGACTCTAAGAGGATGCTGATAAATATCTCTGGACATTGCTTTCATCCTAACTAGATTTTTTTTTTGTTCATTCCCTAGGTTTATATTTTTAGAGCTGACCGAAGATCAGGCACATTAATTAAGATTTTTCAGGCATCAGGTAAAAAGGTGAGCTTCTTAGAATAAGTGACTTTTTTGTATGGGAGATGAGATCATGTGGGCGTCAGTTCCTCTTGGAAAATTGGCTTGCAGGGCCTACTTGTGTCTTATGTTTACATGATGCTTCTATCTGCATGCTGGTGCTTTCTCTTTCTTAGCAATCTGTATAACCTGCGGATTTCATGAGATTCATGCTAATTTTAGAAGACATCATGTAGCAAGATGAGTACCTAGCCAAATTTATAGTACAGCATTTAAAAAGGTTGTCATAGTCGAGACACTATCATCCAAACGTGACACGCTCTTTCCCTCTGCTTTTCTCCAACTCTTGTCTTTGTCCCCTTCCATCTGTCTCTCATACAAACCCACCTGCACTTCTAGAGACAGCAGGTACAGTTGAGTGCTGGTAGTAGATCTGCTATACATAGGTGATTACTTTGAAATGATGCAGACTGATGAATGCTTCTCCTGGTCCCTGTTTTATCAACCCACTACTGCCCTCTTTTCCTGTGTCCTTAGACCTCATGTTGTTGCCAGGGGAACTGTTGTTATAAAGAGAAAATGTGAACAACAAACCACTTAGTTCCTCTTAGAAATAGCTCAGGAGGATGCTCTGCCATTAGTCCCGGAGGAGGTTTATCTGCCTGTGTCATGTGTTCCCTCTCCCTAATCTCCTCTGTTTCCTGAAGGTTTGTATCATACTATACTGTAGTCTAAAATTATGCCAGTTACAGAGTCTTCTGATTAATACGCAGAACTTTTCATGGGTCACTCAGCCCTGCACTCTTTAGTGTGGCTTAGATCAGCAGGATGGTGTGGCAGAGATTTGCTGCCCTATGGGGTTGGGGGTATGTGAGGTAATTTGGAGGTTGGTTTTGGTGGAGGCCTTGTGGGCTCTGAGAAGAAGCCTAGGGTGCCTGAAATGTGGGAAGGAGACTCTAGAAGATAGAATGTCAAAGAGTGATTTTACTTATCGTTTCTCTGAGACACGGGGGAAAGTAGTTGTTTCCTTCCTTTACTACATTCTTCCTGCCCAATTTTCTTTCTGACTTGAGTTAAATCTGCCTTATGCCAGCCTACAGTCATTCTAGGTTGTTAGGATGGTAAACTGTATTCCAACAATCTCACTTACAACTGGACCTTTTTTGTGTTTTTTTTTTTTACCTACTTTTTTTGAGACAAGGTCTCACTATGTTGCCTAGTCTGGCTCTAAACACCTAGACTGAAGTGATCCTCCAGTGTCAGCCTCTGGAGTAGCTGGGACCCCAGGCACGCACCACTTTAATTTAGAAACCTTAATAATATGTGCACTTAGTATACAATTGCCATAACCTTTAGAATTAAAAAAATAGCACTTAATTTCATTTTGCATTTCTCCTCACAGCAATTCTACCTTCCCTGAGAATGGTGCTAGCTTGTGTTATTTTAACATTTCCAAAACCCCACAGCAACAACATTGGGACTGGGAGCAATTTTGCAGAAAAGGTTTTCCAAGCCTAAGGTTAGAAAAGAAAGCGCTACATGCCACTTGTGATACAAAGGGTCCCAGTGAGCACAGAAAGCCTGAATACTCCTCACCTAAACAGTTTAGCTCTTTCTCCAAAAAGCAGCACATGAGTAAATGTGTCTGCTGTGGAAACAAACGCCCTCCACATTTCAGATTACCTGGGTTTGAAGGCATAAGTTTAAAAGATTCTGCAGAGTGAGTCATGGGGCTGAAACACAACTGTCCTATTTTCTGAGCATCTTCCTGTGCCTTCCTCTTCCTTTGCCACACCCTGCCACCTTTGCTCAGGACTGGCTCCTGTAATGCCTGCTGTCCTGGCATAATTAGCAATATGATTGTGCCCTCTCTTTTTAAGACCCATGGATGATAACTTACCTGGCCACCACCTGAGCCCAACTTGGGTCAGGTTTTAGGGGTGGATTTGAGAGTGGGTCATGTGAGGGGAATTTAGGGAAACCTCCAGGAACTCCCTGTGCAAACTTCCTGAGGACTCGGTGTGGTCAAATTCCAGGACAGATGTGCTTACCTGTGGGTTTGAATGCTCTTTCTATGTCAAGGTATGTCAGGTTCCCTGAGGTGGAGGCAGAAGGGCACAGGTATTTTGCCCTCCAGCTCCGTACCCCTGTACCTGGCCTTTACTTTAGGATACTTCTTTTTAGAAACTTTGCCTGTGCTGCAGTTACCCTCCAGCCTGCCACACCCTCCTAGCCCTCTGGCCTTTACTTTTTTCTCCTAGTACTTCCTTTGATTTTAAAATAGGCCATAACGTCCCTTTGTCGGTCTTATTCTGCTTTGTGCCAGAAGAAATGAGATATTTTTGGCTCTCTGACTTCTCCATTATCTTCTAAGGAGAGGACACGACCCTGGACTTTCAAAGGATGCCTTTAGCTTTACCCCTGGGTCTGGAGCCACACACAAAGAGGAGGGTTCCAACTAGGCCATCATCAGTTTACTTCTGTTTTTGTTTGGCTAGTGCTTGGTCAGATTGTATCTTGGCTTCTCATTAGGAAGGAAAAACACTAATAAAAAACTGGTTCTGGTTTTTATTGATTGACATCTTACAAATAGTACCCATAAGAAATCATTAATATGTGTGCAATTCAGACATTAAAGCAGACACACTCCTCCGTACTTCAGGCTGATGGGAAGTTACGTCCGAGGGACCCTCACCCTAAAGCGTGTCATTGCCATATTGAGGTTTCATTGAATTAACTGACTATGTGAAGTGTTTGTGTTTCAAAAGTTAAGAAACTCCACATACAGGAATTTTTGATTTAACACCCTTGAAGATGCCAAGTTACATAGCCCACTGGAATGAAACAATTCCTGCGGGCCTCAGCCAGGGAGAGCAGTGTTTGGCTTTGTTCTTTAGGGTGCTGCCTGTGTCTTACCAGTTTCTTTTCCTAAAATCCAGATAAGGAGATAGGCAAGGCCACTGATTTAGTGCCTGGCAGTTTGGCTTCTGTCCTCCCCACCCTCTAGGATTCCAAACCTCTCCTGTGACCCTTGAGAATGGGCGACTGGCTTTGACATGTGACTAGGGAAGGGTTTCTGAGTGGCCACTACAAAAGTCCTCCCGTGCCAGCGTCAGCTGCAGGGAGTAGATTGGAGTGCCCCCCACCTCTCAAACTCCCCTGGGTCATCTGCCAGCATACTTCAACAGCAAGAGAAAATGCTTGTTTGGGTCAATAGAGACAGAGCACTTCTATTTGAAAACATTTATTTTAGAAGCATAGTGCTTTTTTGTGGTTGTTGTTAGAGGCACACATTGGCAGCTTTGAGGGAGCATACAGCCTACAAAAGTTTTTTGGGGGGGTCTGTACAGTATTAATTTATCATTTTTATTATGCATTAAATTATCAGCATTTAAAAATAGGTATTTCTAACAGAGTTTTAGAGTTTTGGCTTCTCTTGGACAATTGGGTGGTTGGCCCTTCTGGGTCAGCCTTCCTTGTGGTGGCAGAGTTGCGGCTGTGTGGGAGCTGCTCCTTTAGCTGGGGCTGTGGGCTCCAGTCTGCTGCTGTCGCCAGCACTCCCTGTTGCCACCCAGACACTGAAGAAACATCCCTTGCCATCTGTAAGCATGCTTGCGCTGTTAGTTTTTTTTTTCTTATATCTTTTTTACCACCTGCCTGGATCCCATTGGTATTTGGGCTTGAGATCCCAGATTTAAAGTAAAGGGTACTGGGTTAAGCTGTGTTTAAAGAGCCAATATAACTGGCTCTGTTCCCTCATCAGTCTTATGACTTGTACCTTCTTCTGTCACTTTACTTCATGCCTTGCTAGCAGTCTTTAGCTACACACAGGACTGGGTTAAGATACCCTGTTTTCCCATGCAGCATTTATTTTCCTGTCTTCCTTCTGTTGTAAAATGTCACATTTCTACTTGCTTGGCCTTGTCTAGTATCTGATGTACAGGCACTTTATCACGCTTTTAACCTGGATTTGTAACCTCAGCTTATGTTTTTAAAAACAGTGCCTTGTTCTCCAGGAATTAGTTTATTTACCTACTTAATAGGGCTTCTGGAAAGGGGCACTCAAGCCCTCAGCTTTAGTCTCAGGATGATCAAAGGCCCATGTGTGCTGGGTACACAACTGTTTGCTTGGGCATTCTGATGGGAGGGGTAGCTTAGCTGGTGCAATCTTGGAGAGGCCAGAGGCAAGTTTTTCTGAAACTAGTGAGCCAGAGCACTGCAGGCCTTGGTGTGCAAAGGCAGACACTGAACACTTTGTTGCAACTCGACTTGGTTGCAGATGGGCTCTTACTTCGGCTCCTCCTTATGCGCAGTTGATCTGAACAGGGATGGCCTTTCTGACCTGCTAGTGGGCGCCCCCATGTTTTCTGAGGTCAGAGACGAGGGGCAGGTCGCCGTCTACATCAACCGCGGAAACGTGAGTACGATGGGAAATGCAGGTATGGAGTATGGGGAGGGAGGGGCATTTTCCAGCCAGTAGTGACTGAGTACCGTCTCTTCTGGATGCATACAGGAACACCTTACCCAGAGGAGGTAAAATGGCTTAATTCTGCTGTGGAGGCATGTAACCGTCTATTATTGGAAAGTCATATATAGTGTTAAAACTGCAAATATACGGGGGCCAGGGAGAAACCTACTGACTGTGTACCAGGCACTGTTTTTCCTGCTTTCTATGAAGGTGTCAGTGAGATACACATATGATATCAAGGGTCTCTAGTTTTCAGATGAAGAAACTGAGGCCCAGAGAGGTAAAGTTACATGGCCCAGGTCACAGCTGAGAAGTGGTAAGGTTGGGATTTGCGTATGGCTTCAAAACTGGCATGTTTTGTCTATGAGTCTGGCTTACAAGGTCAACATACATGGTGAATTATTAAATTAAAATTTATTGCAGTAAATTTTGCAGTATTCATTACTATGAATCCCCTTTAAAATACGCCCCCCCCCTTGGTTCAAAACACATTTACTCAATCATTTGTGCCACTTTCTGAAGCACTTACCAAGTCCAGCGTGGTGAATTCTGCTGCCAAGTACCATCAACGGAAAGGACACTTACAAAAACATTGTGGTGTGACCGCATTCACCTTCTTCACTGGATTTGGCACCGTGTAACTTGTGGTGGTTCCAGTCAGAATGACAATGAGAGTTAAAATTTTTAGTCTTTTTAGGACATCAAGGCAGCCACAACAGCACCACTAAAGACGTTCACAGGAAAGGATTTCTAGAACGCTTCAAAAAATAGCAAGAATAATGGGATAAATTTGTTTGAAGCAAGGAGTATTTTGAGGAGGATTACTGGCAATGTGTCTTTTACTGTAATACATTTTAAAAATTTAAACAGTGTATTTTTTTGACCACAGAAAATCATATTTCACTCAACATGATGGTCTTCATATCCATCCATTTTCTTGCAAATGACAGAATTTTGTTTTCCCTTGTGGCCAAATACTCCACTATATATTATAACACATTTCCTTTACCCTTTCAACTGGTGATGGTTATCTAGGCTGGGTTTATATCTTAACTATTGTGAATTGTGCTACAGTATACACGGGTATGCAGGTATCCCTCTAGTATGCTGACTTCAGTTGGTTAGGGTATATACCAAGGAACAATATAGCTGGGTCATTTGGTAGGTCTAATTTTAGTTTCCTTGAGGAGCCTCATACTGATTTTTATGGTGGCGATACTCATTTACATTCCTACCAGAAATGTACAAGGGTTCCTTTCCCCTCACATCTTTTTCAACATTTGTGGTTAAAAAAATTTTTTTTATATTCTTGATACTACCCATTCTGATTGGGATGAGATGGAAACTCAATGTAGTTGTTTTGTTTTGTCTTTACTTTTTTGTGTGTGTTTTTAATTTTTTTTATTTTAAAGAGAAAAAAATAAAACACTTTCAAAACAGGTTAGTAGGAGAGTTATAATAATTAATACATTGTATGTTGTCGTCTTCATAGTAGTTATTCAGAATACAAGATATAGAGGCATATCTTGTCCAAACAGTATTAGCACAAACCTTTTCTTTCAATGAACTAAGAGAAACTAGGTATATAACTATCTTAACTATCTTGTGTATAAATATATTTTTGTGTGTGTTTTTGAGACAGGCTCTGACTATGTAGCCCAGGCTGGCCTTGAACTCATGGTGATCTGCCTGCCTCAGCCTTCCAAGTGCTGGGATTACAGGCGTGTATTACCACACCTGGCTTAATGAAGTTTTGATTTGTATTTCCCTAGTGGCTAAAGGTGTTGAATTTTTTTTTTTCAAATACTTATTGGCTGTTTGTACTTCTTTTGAAAAGTGTCTATATATTTCATTTGCCTATTAATTGATTGGCCTATTTTATTTTTTGGTGTTTTTTAGTTCTTTTTATATTTTAAATACTAATCCTCTGTCAGAAGAATAGCTGGAAAAAGATTTTCTTCTATTCTGTTGGCTGTCTTTCACTTTTGGTTGTTTCCCTTGCTGTGCAGAAAATTTTCAGTGGGATGTAGTCCCATTTGTTGACTCTTGCTGTTATTTCCTGTGCTGTTGGAGTCTCATTCAGGAAGTCTTTGCCTGTGCTTATGGCTTCAAGTGTTTCCTTCGGGTGGTTTCAAAGTTTCAGGTTTTGTATATAGGTCTTAATTTATTTTGAATTGATTTTTTTGGTACTGGGTGAGAGAGAATGATGTAATTTTAATCTTCTACACATGGATATCCAGTTTTCCCAGCACCATTTGTTAAAGAGGCTATCTTTTCTCCAGTGTTTGTTTTTGACTCCTTTGTCAAGAATCAGATGGTTATAGTTGTGTGGGTTTGTTTCTGTGTCCTCTGTTTTTTGCTTTGTGTGTGTTTGGAGGAGGCTACTGGGGGTTGAACCTGGAACCTTGATATTAAGCTACATCCCCACCCTTTTTCATTTTTGATTTTGAAACAGGGTCTTTGATTTTGAAACAGGGCGTGAACTTGTGATCCTCTTGCCCCTATAAACTCAGTGTTAGAATTATAGGCCTATGCTGCCATGTTCCACTTTCTGTGTTCCCTGTTCTATTCTCTTGTCTTTTTTCTTTTTTTGGCACCAGGAATGGAATTCAGGACCTTGTGCTTGCCAAGCAAGTGCTGTGCCACTGAGCTACACCCCTGACCTCCCTGTTCTATTCTGTTGTTTGTATATATTTTGTGTCAGCACCCATGTGCTGTTTTTGTTATAGTTTCTTTGTAGTATAGTTTGAAATTGCATATTGTGAGCCTTCAGCCTTTCTTTTCTTTTGCTTAAGATTTGTGTTGCTGTTCTGGGTTTTTTGTTTCCATATGAATTTGGGGATTTATTTTCCAGTTCTGTGGAGAATGTCATTGAAATTTTGATGGGAATTGCATTGAATCTGTAGATCACTTTTGGTGTTATGGCCATTTTAACAATATTAATTTTGCCAATCCATGAACATTGGAAGTTTACTCATCTTCTATCTAGTTTTTTCAATTTTTTTTCTTCAGTGTTCTGAAACTTTCATTGTAGAGGTCTGTCACCTCCTTGGTTAGGCTGATTCCTCAGTTCTGTATTTTTTTCAACCTTCTTGTGATTGAAATTGTTTTTTTTATTAATAATTGATTTTTTTCCCAGCTAGTTCTTTATTGGTGTATGAAAATCTATTGATTTTTGTAAAAATGTCAATTGTTTATCCTGGGCAGTACCTTTTGACACCTGCATCCCCACTGACATTCTAGGGGTAGGGGACAGGGAGAAATGAAGTGGTCATTCTGTAGATGAGAATAATGGACAGTCAAAGACTTTCCGCCATTTATATGTATAGGAAAATGAAGAAAATGCATGACCCAACAGTCTCACTGTGTGATCAAGTCAGGGAGTGCACTCTTGGAGCACGATAATTCCCCCAAGACTTCCTCTGAGCATGAGGCAACCACCTGCGGCCTCCCCCTACCTCCTAACCCAGTGTAACTAAATACTATATGATTTTCCTAAGCTCCAGAGTATTTTGTTTCTATTGAAACATATTCTAAGGGGTAGGGATATAGCTCAGTGGCATAGTACCTACCTGCAAACATGTGAGGTTGTGAATTCAATTCCCGGTGCCAAAAAAAAAAAAAGAAACATGTTCTATTGGATTAATAACTATAAGGTAATATGGAGGAGTGAAAAAAGTGATGATGCTGGAGTGGATGGACCTGAGTATGCATCTTGGTTTTTCCAATTTGTAGCCTGTGTGATGTGAGCAAGTAGCTTGTAATTAGTGCCTCAGTCCCCTATCTGCAAAGTGGGAACATCCATAAATGAGGGGATGGATATACAGTGCTCGGTACACAGAAGGAATCAGTTACTTTTGTTTATTTCTTCTCCCTCCTCACACTACTAGGAAGAAATCACATACGGTCAGCCCTCTGGATCTATGGGTTGTGCTTTCTCAGATTCAACCAACCACATATGGAATATATGGCAGCAAAAAGAATTGTCTGTACTGACCATGTACAGACTACTAATCCCTAAGTGATATAGTATAATAACCATTTGAATACCATTTATATTTTATTAGATATTATAAGTAGTCTAGAGATGATTTAAAGTACACAGGAAGGTGTATGTAGGTTATATGCAAATATGACAATTTATATAAAGAATTTGAATACTTGCAGATTTTGGAATCCAAGGGGTCCTGGCACTACCCTCATAGACACTGAGGGATGACTCTTATTTGTATTTTGGGGTGGGGCTTTCACTGACTCAAGAAATCATCACATCTTTATTGTTTTCAAGTCAAAAGTTGTGTTTATAGTGAAAGATTTGGTCATGAGAAAAACCAGACATTCATGGGATGGCCAGTATGTGTATGGTGGGTCCAGAGTGTCTCTCCGCTGGGGAAGGTTTAGACATTCTTACTTCTCAAAACATCAGTTTGCATTTCAGCTCTGTATTCACATGCCCAGTGGTTGGAAGCAGAGTGGGTATTCTTGGGTGATTTTTACTGCCACTGTACATCACTGACCCCTCTCCCTCTGTGAGTTAGTGTTTGCTCAGGAATTTTGAGTCTGAGCTACACATGGCAGTGAGCATAGTGATTTATCTATCCCTGTCCATATGGGGTGCCTGAATTTTCATAGCTATGATCTCCTCTATCAGTATGTACCTTGCAAAACAGCCTTATGAACTTGTATTGAAAAGCACAGGAGAGAAAGAGAAAAAGTATGTTCTTGTTTAAAACGATTTTGGCAATAGTGTTATGCCCTAAGGAAAGCTGAGGGGATACTGTAGGGACGTGTAGTAGGTGACCTTGGTAGTCTGTTCAGTGTGAGGACAGTGACTTGTAGTCATTGGCCAGTGTGACACTCTCCGTGCCCCCGAAACACATCTCAGCTATTGGAGATCTTCCTGCTACAGAGGAGAAGGCACTCATTTTGCCCTGGGGAGAGAGAAGTTTGGATTCCTGTGATTCTGCCTAGGTGTTTCCTGTCAATGAGTGTGATCTAGGAGCTCTGAGCTCTAGATTTAAATTTTTAAATTAAAAAAAAAAATTCTTCACTCTGTTTTTTCCTCTCTCATTTTTTTCTTCTGTCTCATTTCCCAGGGAGTCCTTGAGGAGCAACTGGCTCTGACCGGGGACAGGGCCTACAACGCACACTTTGGGGAGAGCATCGCCACCCTGGGGGATCTTGACGATGATGGCTTCTCAGGTGAGCGAGGTCTCCTCTGGAGTGCAGAGCTCCTCCAGGAGCAGCAGGCAACCCCGTGTCAGAGCGGCAGGCTGCCCTCTGACTTTGTCCTGGTGTCATGATCTGCTTCTGGAGCAAAGTCCATCAGCACTTTTATGGGGAGTGAGGAGACTCTTAGAGATGTTTCCATGTACATACCCGGAGCTGAGTGCTGAGCCCACTGGAGTTTTGCTTCTGCACAACTCTTTCTCATCAGCTCAGCGTCTGCAGTGGAAGCCAACATCAGGACGAGTCCTCTGGCTTCTGGTGGCTGAGAAGTTTGATGAGCTTTCTCCTGCCGCCAGTTCTTTTTGTTTCTAAGTCCTAGATGCTCCATAATGGTCTGCTATGTTTTGGGAGAAATATGTGAAAACAAAGTAGACATTTTTTCCCCTGATAGTAGCGACTTTGTAAGTTCAGTATAGGGGAGGAGGTGTAAGGACCTAATGTCCATTTCTGCTTGGACCCTAGGCTCCTTTACAGCCCATTGGCTTCTACTGTGTCCTGTTAAATACCTCTTCCCTCACTGTATGCATAGTGTACAGACACTGGGGGCTGGGTGAGCCATATCCCCAAGGCTAGGGTTCTGCTCTGGCCTAGGTTGGGTGTCTGGGCTCCTTTGCTACCTCATCCCATGGGGAAGGGGAGGGAGAGGGGGATGGGGAAAGGGGAGAGAGAGGGAGAGGGAAAACACGTGAACCTCTATCTTGAGGTCATGGGATGCATACTGTCTGCCCTTAAGCACATTTCTTCAGGCATATGACTCTTCTGAGAAGCAAAGAGAAAAGAGTAGGAAATTCCTAGGCTTTGATCCAGGAGCTGTCATTTGTGTGAGTAACACTGGTTTTTCTTTTTGGGGAAATTAATTGCACTCTGTAAATTTCCTTTATGTAGGGATAGAGTTGACTTTCTCAGTTATGCAATAACCATTGTCTATGGAATTCCCCTCTCTGAAAGAGATTAGAGTGGAATCTATTTCAATATCATCCCGATATTGCTATCTATCTATATCTATATATCAATATATAGATATTTGCTTTGCATTAAGCAATATACCCTGGCCTTTTTAAATTTTGAGACAGATACAGGGTCTCCTTAAGTTCCCAGGTTACCTCAGCCTCCCAGAGCGCTGGGATTATAGACGTGAGCCATTACACCCAGCTTGTATTTCTTCATATCAGTGTTTTGTTGCTTTTTCTTAGGATGAGGTAGAAACTTTTCTGGGTCTGAAGTCTTGTCAGCTCCTATAACTTTCTTTTTGTTTTGTTTCTTCTGATAAGAGATCATGTGCCTAATTTAGTGCTTAAATGGTTAGCCAAGAATTTCTGGGATCAGGGGCCTCAGACATGATAAATGGAGTGAAGGAATCCACACATATTATTCCACATGGCATTTCTGACCCACAGTTGTCTTTCTCCCTCAGATGTGGCCATTGGCGCACCCAAAGAGGATGACTTTGCAGGAGCAGTGTACGTCTATCATGGCGATGCCAGTGGGATAGTCCCGCAGTACTCAATGGTAATTGGTGTGAGAATGACATGGTAACTGTGTATACATTCATTCAATGAACATGTATGGAATCTTCACCGTGTACCATGTTCTGGGGCTACCTTTACTGTGTACCGTATTCTGTTGTGAAAGCACAACATTGGGCTTGCCTTCAGGCATCCACCTTCTAGTAAAAGAGTAAAGCAACTGATATTACTGATTAAATATAAAAAAGTACTCATAGCATCCTGATATTGCTCATATTCAGGCATACATTTGGCCTAGAGAAAATATTAAACAAATTTTTACTCAGAATTTGAGCTACTTGAGAAACTAAAGTTTCTCTGTTTGGTGTCTCCTTTACTGACCATCTATGTTAAGTCAAAGAAATATCATTAAGATACCTAAAGAGAGACTGGTCCACAGAGGAAGGCCTGAAATTTCTCGTGGACTGTTGTCACAATTGTCATCCAAACCAGGAGCTGGTCAAAGCTCTAGCCTTGCCTCAGAGTTGGGAACATGGAAGTGGTGAATTCTGCTTTCTTGCTGTATCAGCTCTGCATTCAGTCTTGCTGATGGTATCAAGCCAAGCCCATGGGAGAAAAGGAAGTCACACTCGGTACAGAGGCATAGTCAGGACATTTGTGGATGTGTGCAGAGTGGCACTGGTCCATATCTTTCTTCCAACAGAACAGTGACAAAAATGGACAGCTCACATGGAGAAAGTTTTGGTCAGTAAATAGTTATCAAGCACTTAAGTGCTAGGTGCTTTCTTTATATTTACATGTATTTATTTATATTTTAAGTTTAATGAACAATATGTAAAAAGTATAGCTTCACTGTCTGCTGGCTGCCTTCTCAGCTCAGTGCCTTCCCTGTGAGAAGGGGGCTGTTCCTAGGGCCTGCTCTACCCTTTCCTTGCTGTGAATCTTCACAGCAGCCATGTGAGGTGGGCACATTGATCATCCAATGTTTTTCTCTGAGCCTGTGACCCAAGGAGGGAATTTACCATGCCCAAGGTACTAAGCAGCAGTATGGCTGTTGAAACGTTTCCAGTCTGACTCCTGAAACTGCTCATAACCACCATCCTCATCTCCATATTGGAACAAGGCCCACTCAAGGCAGGTCAGTAGGGAAACTTAGAGATATAGAAACTGATTCTGCTATGAAGCACACATACTCCAGGGAGCCTGTGTCCACTCGGGCCATCCTCTTTTCATTAGAAGTAAGTATAGTAACGTGAGAGCAATAAGCTCTTAAGCCATCCCAGCTGACATGGCAGGAGGAGGAGGCTTTGGGCACAGTGTGGGGCCCACATCTGCATCCCAGGAGCCACCCTGGTCTGGCATGTTGTTCCCAGTGTGACAAGCTGAATGTCATCTGAGGACCTAGTGCTTGGGTAGAGGGCAGGGTCATTCTCCATACATCCTCCTGGCAGTTTGTTCCTGGACCTTGGAAGCTAACCACACGTGGGACAACCTGTGCAAGACCCCTGCTTCCCCTCCACCCTGGGCTCTGCAGTGTTTTGTTTTGTTGCTGGGTGGAATCCCTACGCAGAGCTGAAGTATACATTTTGTGGTTAGTATGGAGTGTCTCTAGTAGGAAGCGGGATCAGCAGCTGGACCGCCCTGCCTTTGTCAGCAGGCATGTTGGCTTGTCAGCTTCGACAAAGAAGTGGTTTGGGGCTTTTTAAAGGAAGAGAGACAGAAAAAGAACTATAGGTATGCTTTTCCAAGCAACATATATATGATAAAGTCAATGACTTAAAGGGGAGAAAAACCCTTTAATGATAGATCCTTCTGGGCCCAGCCGTGGACAGAGTGAACACTGTGTGTGGAAAATAGAGGAAGAAATCAGAAACTAGTCTGGGCAATGGAATCGCTTTTCTTTGGCCCAGATTGGTATTATTTCTGCTGGATAAATGGTGAGATCAGGGCCTCAACTACTTCTGCGTTACTCTTTAACTCATTCCTTTTCCTTGAGTTTTCCATGAAGAGTGTTGATTTTAAGATCCCCGTGTGCCTGTCCCAGTTTGAGAGCCCTCGGGCATGTCATGGCGGTCCCTGTGATCTTTCTGCTGCTGCAAGGGACACTGCACATAAACCTGGACAAGTGGAGGTTTTCCAGGGTTCCTGGTTTCCATTTAGGGTTATTAGCACCGAGCAGACTTATCTTCCTGTCTTTATAGCATAATGGCCTGCAGATGTCTGCGGATAACTTAAGCCTGCATCGCCACCCCCAAATAGACCACCCCTTCTCTCTCCCCATTCCCAGCCACTGCATACCTTACAAATGCAAACCTAGGGCAAACTGTTGCTAATGTTCTCAGCCTTCCAAGCTGAGATGGTCTTCTTCAAAGCATGGCTTGTAAGAAGTACACAGTCACATGGGTTTGTTTAGATAGAGCCATGTGGGATGTGAGGCTTTGCCTGGGAGTAAGCAGTATTTCTTCAGTGTTACCTACAGTGTTCTGATCTATACTTTGATGCACACACGTTTTCTGTTGGATAGTGTAACTCAAAACGGCAAGAGGGGCTCTCAGGTCATTTCTGAGAAGGTTATTTGCAGTCATCAACAGGGTACAGGGACATCCCAGCGTCCATGTGCCGATCCTGTGGAAACTCCCTCTGCCCACATTCATGAGTTCTCTGTAGGATGACTCAATAAGGAAAAGCACAAGGAAATAAAGGTAAATGATCCTAATGTCTGTAAACCTGGCTCTGTTATGGGTTTTGCTTCAAGACATGAAAACAAGGCATGTCTCTTGCCATTCACAGTGAGGGCACTGGGAGGTGAGCCTCTGTAGGGATACTGGAATAAAGGTGGGGAGGAGCTATTCAGATGCCAGAAGCTGAGACTTTTCTGATTCAGGAAGTTTGGTGTCTTTGTGAAGATTGTGCCACACAAATATTGATGCATAGCTCTGCATGATGAGCGTTGGCTGTGCAAGTATTCTTGAACCAATGTTGCCTGTGTTGATAGGTGATGGACTTCATGATGCAAGAAAATGTGTGCCGTGATATAGTGAGTTGTGAACTTTGGTTGGTTGAGGACTGTCTAATAGGGAGGAGGGCAGTGTTAGCTGATTTTTAAGGATTTCCTATAGATTATAGAAGGTTAGGAATGTGGAGTTCTGGATTTACTAGATAAAACTGATCCTGGGTGTGAAGTTTGGGAGTCTGTAGACTTCCTGCTTGGCTGACTAGAGGGGCAGTTTCCACATGGCCATAATTGCATATATTAATTACCTGACCATCTAGGGCGAGAGTATTGCATGTCTTGGGAATGGAGTATGAAGTGTTTTGTACTTGTTTGGGTACAGACATAGGAAGTAAATATGCTGCTAGAATTTATCTGCTATACCTCAGTCAAAACAAAACAGAAACCGTTAGACATGGAAATTAAACTTTATCCATCTTGAACTTCAGCATGTCAAAAAAAATCACACTAGTCTGGACAGATTTATTTGTTAGCAGTGAACTTAGCAAAATTTTAAAATGATGAAATTTGGCCAAAGCAAATAATAATAAAGGAGTGTGTGGTCTTCAGCTGCCTACTGAAGGCCTCCTGATCAAATGAGAATTGCCTTTTTTTTCCTTTCAACCATTTAAGACCAGGTGCCCCAGGGAAAGTTGGTTAACACAGTGTCAAGTTCTTATTGGTGACTCTTTATTTTCACGTCCCTATTCTCTGTTTCAGAAATTGTCTGGGAGGAAGATAAACCCAGTCCTGCGGATGTTTGGGCAGTCCATATCAGGAGGCATTGATATGGATGGAAATGGCTATCCTGGTAAGCTGTTTTTCTTTAAAGGCACATGAGATAAAGATAGGTACATGAAGTGGACTGATTTATAGTGTGGTTAGTGGTTATTTACTCTATACAGGATTAGGAAAATTCACACAGTTCACAGAAGAACAGAATAATTCGTTTAAAGTCTGATGCTGGAAAACAATAAAAGGGGGTGGAGGGAATGGGGGAAAAGAAGGGAATTGAAATGTGGTATGTGCGTGTACCAGTTCCCAACAGTGAATGTGATCATTATGTACTGTAAACATGGTAGTAAGAGAATAAAAGAGTATATTTTGATTGTTTATATTTAATCATATTCACATTTAGAGACTTCTTCCTTTTGAGAGGGAAAAGGAGCCACCCCCCTCTTTCTCCTAAAAGAAAATTACAGAGATAGAGATTTGGATAAGAAGAAAGCCTGGTCTTCTTGCTGATGGTTGAACAGCCTGTCTATGTTTGAAACTGGCTGGTCTTCAGGGTGAATGAATACATTGTGGGGGTTGAGACTAATCAAATGAAAATGTGAAATTTCCAACCCAGACCCCAGGTGACACGCAATTTATGTCGTTACCTGGGTAGTGGGATAGTTGTTCTTTGGGCATTTGAAGATGAAATGAGGTGAGGAAGCAAAGGTAAGAATTTGAAAAACCTCAAATCATCATGGAGTTCGGAAAACATTTCCAGGAATACATAGTCATCTTACTTTTGAAGAAATACTTCTTCCTACTTAAAATGTGCGAAAACTAGTACAATCCTAGAGCACCAAATTTTGTCTTTTTTTATAGATAGAAATTTTGCACACCTTTCAGACTTTATAAGGGTCGCACTGAAGCTTTTGCCCTAAGATAGGCTGCCCTGTGTTTTTATAAGTTTGGGAATGGAATTCTTGTGCTAGGCTGTCCGAGGCCATCTCCAAGTAATATCTTTCCGGGTTGAGCACTATGACGTGTAAAATGCTGCCAGGTGCACTGTCCAACTCACAGTGATGCCAGTAGGCAGGGAGGGAGTGGGCATCCCCCACTTTATGGATGACAGTGCTGCACATCAGAGCAGGTTAGGGACAACGAGAGCCTGCAGCCATGGGCAGGAACTCAGGCCTCCCAGTGGCTCAGCTGCTGCTATATGAATGCATGCTCAGGAGATGTGTTCACATTTCACAATGGAGCTGAACTTCATTTCTTGTGTTTTTTATAAAAAAGCAATAAATTTGTTCATTTAGTTCAAACATGCAATCAATTAAAGAATACTACTGAAGAGCAATAAAATTAATATATACACCTAAGTGCAGAAATTTTAGGAGTACTATAAGTCATGGATTTGCTGTTGCTTTCTCTTAATGAGGACATTGTGTAGATCTTTTCATTTAGTGACAGGTCGATTTAGACTCTCTTGAACTCAGATATTTGGTTCTATGAACTGTTAATGAAGCCCCAGGGTTAAGGGGTTGATGCTGAGGGGGAAGGAAGGCATGGAGCTATTGGATAAGTGAATACTTTATTTAGAAATAAACATTACTAAGGAATGAGGGTGTAGTTCAATGGTAGAGCATTTGTCTTAGCATGTGTGAGGCCCTGGGTTTGATTCCTAGCACACCATAAAACAAAACAAAAAATAGAAAATATTGCTAACTAAACTTGTGTCTTAGTTTACCAAGCATTGCTTAGTTTATCAAGTATTTTTGTATATTTTATTATTTAAATATCTGATGTGATATATTTAATAAACACTTAAATATTTCATATGTTTAATGATTATACAGTAAATGTTACACTTAATGACTATTATATATTTTCTGATTTCAATATAAAATATTGGCAGCTTTAGAAGAAGGTCTTGGAGATAATGATCCCTGAGTATAGGCAAGGTTTCAGAGAAAACCTAAAGTCTCATAGAGTGAGGGTGGGAGGTGAGGATTCCCACGGTTGAAAGACCCTAGGTCAGTGATGGCAAACCTTTCAGAGTTTTCAGTGATACAAACTGCCATAGGTCATTTTTCAAGAGTTGTTTAATTCTGGTTATCTCTATTTATTGGACTGATATCAAAGAAAGGAAAAAAAAATCAAGCTACATGTGTAAATTGCTTAATCACCAAATATAGATAAAATACTTGAAGTTGATTTTGATAATATTTAGTCTAATATAGCTAACATATTGTCATTTTAATATATAATCAATATAAAAATTATTAATTAATTATTGGTTTTTAAAAATTAGGTCTTTGAAATATGGTGTGTTTCTACAGTCTATCTCAATTCAGACCACCCTTACTTCAAGGCTTTAGCCATACGTGGTAGGCTACTGTTTGGGACACTGTGGTTTTAATTCTAAAAAAACCATGGTGCATCCAGACTATGGCAGTTTGAGGGCTCCCTGACCTCAAGGTCAGACCTCAGTTGCTGCAGAACACCGTGCTAGGTGGGGACTGTTTTTGGTGGGCTTCAACAAGTGTCTGAATGTTGTGACTTATTGCTTTCAGATGTCACCATTGGCGCCTTCATGTCTGACAGCGTGGTTCTTCTGAGGTGAGATGCCTTACTCTTGTTCCTCATGCGTGAGAGATGGAAGTCAGTGGGGGAGACGTGCGGCAGTAACTTACCCTCACTCATCTCTTTCCTCAGCCCTGCTCCTTGCAGGCTGGAGGTGCTTTACAAATGGAAATGGTGCCTTTATTTTCTCACTCGTATTATCTTCCCTCCCAGACTGTCCACCTGGGGGGCCTTGAACAGCTTATTCCTGGGAGATGGTAACTTCTGTGCTGCATCTAGACAGGGTTAGGGATGACCTGTCTCTAAATTTGAGGGCTGTTTGCCTTGGCCATTGATAGCCCTTTTCATTAAAGTACAGTGTAAATACTGTTGTTTCCTTGGGTGCCTTGACACTCAGAGGGCTGGGAAGCATTGTACATCTCACTTTTGGTTTCTGCACCTAATATCCTTTCCCACCAGTCCTCAGTCCCCAGCAACTGGGAGCCTCCTGCGCATTGCACAGCTCTTCATTCGCTGGTGAGCAGAGAGGTGGGATGTAAGCTCCGTGCAGTACTCCTGGGAGCCCATGCACTCCCTTAGAGGCCAGTGGGCTGCTGTCACCACCCACGAATCTTCTCCAAGTATTTCTGTCTGAGTGAGTCAGAGGAGGCAAAATTACACTTTGGAGCATGAGCCAACTCTTAGGTTTTGTTAATAACCTTGTGGCAGAGTGTTCTAAAATAGACTAGCAGGATCTTAGAGCTGGAAGAGATCCCAGAGGCCATGTGGTTCCCCGCCCCAGATTCTTCTCAATTGGCCCTGCTTGCTGGAGTCTCCCTCATAAGGACACTCAGCCTCTTCTTAAATGAGGTGCCTGGCGGTGGGGGCTTAGTAACTTCTAAGGGAAACAGATGACCCCCAGGTGACTCTAATCATTGATTTTTTTAAATTTTTATTTTTTATTAGTCCATGTTTGCAGCACATAACGATTCCATTCCTTTTGGGAAGTTGGTACATGTACATAGCACATCTCAATTCCTTTCTCATCCCTTTCCCTCTGTCATCTGTTGGTTCCCCTTCCATTTGCAAAAGAGTTATCTCCCTGTTCCCTATACTCTTAGTATATATCTTTTGTTTTTCCCTTTATTTATATTTTGGGGTTTGCAATAAGAAAAACCATGTGATATTTAAGCTTGTATGTCTGATTTATTTCACTTAACATATAGTCTCAAAGCATCCATTTTCCTCCAAATGATTCTAGTTTATCCTTCTTTATGGCAGAGTTGTACTCTGTTGTATTACCACATTTTCTTTATCCATTCACCTGTTGATGGGCACATATACTGTTTCCAAGATTGAGCTGTTACGAATTGTGCTGCCATAAACATGGGAATGCATGTATCACTGTGGTATGATGTCCTTAATTCTTTTGGGAAGATACATAGAAGGGGAATAAATGGGTCAAATAGTGTTTCTAGATTTTAGTTTTTTGAAGAATCTCCATCCTGATTTCCATAGTGGTTGTACTAGTTTACACTCTCACCCACAATGTAGATGGGTCCCTTTTCTGCCACAACTTCATCAGCATTTGTTATTTTATTTAATTTCTCGATGATAGCCATTTTTTCTAGAGTTAGGTTGAATCGCAGTGTTGTCTTAATTTGCATTTCTCTAATGGCCAGAGATGTTGAACATTTTTTCATGTATTTATTGACCATTTGTGTTACTCTTGAGAAGTGTGTCTATTCATTTCAGTTGCTCATTTTTTGATGGGGTCTTTTCTTTTGGGGAGTCTAATTTTTTCAGTTCTTTACATGTTCTAAATGTTAGTCCTCTGTCTGAGGTATAAAAGCTGGCAATTTTTTTTTCCTATTTTATAGTTTGACTCTTCACTCTGTTGGTTGTTTTCTTTGCTGTGCAATTTGGTATGATCCTGTTTGTTGATTCTTGATGTTATTTCTTGTGTATTTGAGATTCTGTTCAGAAAACCCTTGCCTAAACCTATGTTTTCAAGAGTTTTATTTTCCAGCAGATTAAATGTTTTTATATTAACAGTGAGATCTTTGTTGCATTTTGATTTTAGTTTAGTATATGGTGAGAGATATGAGTGGATAGCCAGTTTTCCTAGCACCATTTATTAAAGAGGTTGTCTTTCCTCCAGTGTATGTTTTTGGCCTCTTTGTCAAAGATCAGATAGTTGAATGTGCCTGGGATTATTTCTGCATACTTCATTCTGTTCCAGTGATCTGCATGTCTATTTTTGTGCCAGTATCATGCTGTTTTTATCACTGTGACTTTATAATTAACTTGAAATCTAGGATTGTGATGCCTTCTGCTTTGCTCTTGTTACCCAGGATTACTTTTGCTGTTCTTGATCTCTTCTGGTTCCATATGAACTTTAGGATTTTCACTCTAGTTCTGTGAAGTATTCTGATTGCAATTGCATTAAATCTGTGTATCAGTTTTGGACATATCACTATTTTTACTATACTGGTTCTGCCTATCCAGGAACAGGAGATATCTTTCCATTTTCTGATGTCTTCTTTGATCTCCTTTTTCAGAGCACTGCAGTTTTCATTGTAGATGTTGTTCAATTGGACTCTTAACTGTTGAATTGGACTCTAACTACTGAGTTATTAAAGAAGCAGAATATCCTCGAGGTTGAGTTTGGCTTGAGTTCAAACACTGCCTCTGTCCTTACGAGGTGAACTTCCTGGGCAAGGCCCCTGACTTTTCTGTCCCAGGGTTGTCCCTTGTGAAACAGGATAACAATAGTACTTACCACAACCAGTGATTTAGTACATATTAAATGCTTGGCTCAGTGCCTAATGTAAGTGCTTAATAAGCATTTGCAAATCTTAGGTAAATAGGGTTGTTTGCTTTGCCAAAATTTACCTTTCTTGTCTTGTATCTGCTACACAGCAGCCCTTCAGTATCTGATGTTGACAGTTGTGTCCCATGATAGTAGCTTCACTAAGATCAAACCTCCCTACTTAACTTAAGTATACCCACTATGGCCCTGGATTTTCACTTTCTTTATCACTTTTACCTCTTGACTTTCCTGGATCCGAGTAATGGAGGTTCAGCTTCTGATGTGGGTCACTCTAACTGATGCTTTGGTGATATTTTCACTTTCTTCATATCCTGAGCAGTGCACATGGGTTTGTAAGGATTGTGCTCAAATAAAACACATGTCTTATCTTTCCACAGTTGAAGACAGGCCCTCCTTTCAATACTGGGACATTTGGTTTAAGATCTCTCATGTAGATTCTGCCTTGTCATTATTCTTGTATTCCATCATCTTCCACCTGTGAGTGCCAACCCAAAAGGCCTTTTCTTTTTCTCACCTTCATGGGTGATCCTCTCTCCTACATGGATGGAAATGTAAAGTGGGCAGTTGTGCTGTGGACTGGAAACCCTGGTCTCCAGCCTTGCATGAAGGGTTGAATCTCATGAGGTAGAACTACCAGGGATAGATGTAAAGTTCTTTGAAGAGAAGGCTGGGGAGAACATCAATGGAGAGAAGAGGTCTAGGACAGGAGCTGGGGAGCTCCACCTGGACAAACCCCAAGAAAAGCATGAGGTCATGCCACCTGGGGAGGAATGTGTGGGGAAGGGTGTGATCACAGGAAACCCATTCCCTCATGTACTCAGCTAATGTATCCTGCCCTGTTGAAATGCAGCTTATGTACATGGTAGATGATGGGGATTTGCAAAAGAACATGGCAGACCTAGTCCTTGACCTGATATTCTAACCAAGGAGCCGTACACAAGTAGCTAATAATGCATCTAGTGTTTAGTGAACACCTACTATATGCCAGGCACTGTCTAAGCATTTTACATATAGTCATGGTCTGTTCCAGGAGGGCAAGGGACCAGGGAGAGCAGAGGAGGTTTCAGAGCATCTCTTAACCACAGGGATACCTTAGAGAAATGCTTCATTGATTTTGTCATTATGTGAACATTGTAGTAGTGTATACTTAAACTAAGACAGCTGTGTTATCACTAGGCGCTATCATCATAGGAGACAGCCACGGTATGAGTGTTCTGCCTTTAATGGAAATGTCATATGTGGTACATGACTGTGTATTCAGTCTTTTTTGTTGTCTTTCTGAATGGAGGCATAATTTGCAGAATATAAAATGTACCAGTTTTAGTGTATGACTCAATGAATTTTGATCAGTGTAGACTCCTGTGTGACTGATACTTCATTAAGATAAAAAACACTTTTGTCATCTCTGAAAGTTTCCTCATCCTCTTTCTAGCCACCTCCCTCCAATAGATAGGCATTGTTGTGATTTCTGTCATCATAGATCACTAGGATTTCACTTAAATGGAATTACATTGTATAAACTGTTTCTGGCTTCTTTCACTCAACATCATGTTTTTGAGATTCATCCATGTTTTTGTTTTACTCTGAATATGTTATGTTTTGTTCATCCTTTCTGTTGCTGATAGAATGTGTATTAACCCTTAGTCTCCTTAACAACTCTGTAACTTAGATATTATTAGCCCCATTTTACTTGCAGATATGCAAGTTTTATTAACTTAGAAAAAGAGATAATTCCAGGTGATGCTGTGAGAGCAACAAAACAGGGTCATGTGGTCAGGGCACGGGTGTCAAGTTTAGCAGAAAGGGTCCAGTGAACCCTGAGTCCTGTCAGAGGTGGCAGTGAGAGGTCATATGTGCCTTTGATTCTAGAGAAATGTTAATGTAGGAGCCAGATGGCTGTAGGTGGGTGAGGGCAGAAGAAGCAAGCAGACAGTGAATCTTCACTACTTTTCCAGAAGATAGGCTGCTCGGGAGCAGATATAATTGGCAGGCATTTCAAGGCTAGGAGACTGCACCAGCGGTTAGGCCAAGAATGTCTTTGAGACCTTCTCTTATCACCTGAGTCCCTGACCCTTCTGGGAGAGATCAGAGGTGGTTACTCTGTCCAAATGAACCTTAATGCTTTGACTCTGTCCTTCCCTTGGGGTCTGGAGAGGTTAGAAGACGAGAGGGAGGAGAGGGAGGCTGGGGCTGTTGGAGGGTGAGATTGGAAAGAGAGATGAATCTGGCACAAGTGCTGGGGGAAAGGGGTCCCAGAATATGCCGAGTCAGATGAGCTTCAATATGGGATACAGGGGAGGGTATGGCTGAGGATGACTTATCTCTCATCTGTTCTAGGAGGGCAGGGGGCCAGGGAGGGCAGAGGAGGTTTCAGAGCCCAGCTGTGACCTCAGGGAGGAAACAAGGGACAGGCAGAGGAGTCATCCAGCATGTCTGAGGGCCAGGCAGGTGGGATGTCTACAGGTGCCTCCATTGATCAGCTGCTGGAATGTGGCTGGATAGCAAGAAGGCCTAGAAACTTCAGCTGACTGAGGCATGTAGGGGGCTCAGGCAAGGCCTGGCTGATGGGCAAGTTAGTCAGGTTTTTGAATTGCCTCTGATTTTGGCTGAGACCAGGAAAGGTGAAGTCTAGGTTTCTCTCTCCCTCTCTCTCCCTGCATCCTTCTCTCTCTCTCTTTCTCTGCCTTTCTCCCTCTCTCCCTCTCTCCCTGTCTTCCTCTCTCGCTCTCTGTCCCTCTGTCCCTCTGTCCCTCTCTCCCTCTCTCTGTATATGTAGATACACACTCATTGTATTTGATTATCCCAAGGGATTTGACTGTCCCAGAGGTGTGTGGGTAGGAGTACTTTGGGCTGTAGCTACAGTAAAACCTGACTAAGAGTGGTTTAACTGTGTAAACACAGACAAGTTTCCTGGTGGTAGGCACCCATGGGTGGTTTAATAGTATCATCCAACAGTATCATCCAGGACGTAGGTTCTCTCTTTGTCCACCTACCTGTGCCCTACAAAAGGTCAGGGACATTTGAGCAGCATGTCAAAGGATGCCCTGACTGCTCTCATTAGTTACTTGGAAGTGGAATGTGAGGATCTGAACTGTCAACCATCACAAAAAAGCAGTCCAGCTGCTTGCTTCCTTTAAATTTTGAAAGTGCTTGTGCTGCTGTCCTTAGGTGCCCCTTCACTTTCATCCTAGAGGTTGGCACACAGGTCAATAGGACTGTGAGAGGCTAACTGCCACCCCAGGCATGTGGGCTGTCCCCACTGTGCCCTTAGGAAGTTTTCTCAGGAGGGCAGGTCCTGCGTTAGGGTGATAAGCACCTGGTGTCATGCCATTGTAGGTCAAAGGAAGTGATCATAGAAGCTTATGAAAGATTTCTGTGCTTTTCCTCCTTCAAAAACAATACTTGGAGTGGAAACAAAAAGGTTTGCAAGAATTGATCTGATAGATGTTGGAAGGAGATGTACCTGTGAGGGCTCCCATCGGGCATTTCAAAGGATTCTATTTTGGCAAACTTGGTCCAGGTGTGTGGACTGCTCACTTGTGCCTTTTGCTTAACTGGCTCACTGAGCTCTCGAGTGAGCAGGCTCTGGGGCTGAGGAGGGTCTTGTGCTTTTCTTCTGTTCTTGGAGCAGGTAGGTCAGGGGCTTCAGCGTCAGGCAGTCCTGTGCCTTAATATCCTGGTTCCAGTGAAGTTTGCACCATTTAACAAGGGTTTTACACATCTGCTGTCCTGGGAAAATGAAAAGGATGTGCTGGGATCCCAGATCCTGGGATCCCAGATCCTCTCGCGAGGGGTACGGGTGGGGTGGGGGTGTTGCAGGCAGGTTTGGAAATATGACTGTTTTCCTTAGTAGGGACATAGGCAGAGGTGCATCTACAGAGCTGGAGTCAGAGAGAGGAGCCAGGGGTCCTCAGGAAGCTTCCTGGGGGTAGGACACTCGAGCTGGCTATTGAAGGTCAGTAGGGCTTTATTCAGTGCCCACTGGGGTCTGCCCAGTTGCACCAACCAAGAGTAAACTATCCACTTTCTAAGTTATTTCTAGGATCTTCTAAGGGTAAATCCAGAGCCAAACCAAGAGACCAGGATGTTGCTTTCTTTGAGGCACCATTGTTCTACTTCCTTTTGCCCTTCAGCCAGCTTCACAGTTCCACTGCCCTGGTCACAGCTGCCCCGCTGTTGACCCTCCTGTCCCAGCAGTGATGGCAGCAGCGGATTTCCCCTCAGCTCATCCATGCTCATTGTCTCTTCCCTTTTCACATCAGCTTTTCCTTAATGCCTTTTTCTTTTGGAGTGGTTGGTCACTTCTCATCTTCCCTGTTACCCTCTGCACTTTACACAAGTGAGGTCATTGTTCTCAAGCCACTAATGCTCTTTAATCTTGTTATGCCACCCTTGGCAGTGGCACCATGAAGCCTGGGGCTCCTTGGAGGTCAAAGGGTCTCTTTGTGAGGCCTGGGGGAAGAAGGTTAAGCTGCAGCCTGGGTGGAATCTTTCTGAGACATGTTTGCAATGTGTACAGAATGCAGTGATTCGGTCTCAGTGTTGTTGTGTTTTTTTTTTTTTTTTCTAACTGCCCCAGGAGAATCCCTGGATGCTGTCTATTCATTAAGAACTGGGGGATGGTCCATGTCAGTGAAAAGAGTGTGAATGATTGTTAGGTTTGATAGAGGTGCATGAGGTGGAGATTGGGCCAACTTGGTAAGAACTTTGCAATTCATGCTTACAATGGCAGTGAATGCTTTGGGGGATATATGAGTGTGATGTAGTTCTTGAATCACGGCTTCTGTTGTATTAACTCCTCCTAAATGCTTTCATATCTCCCCCATAAAATGGAAATCAGAACTTATTTGGTGAAATTTTAAATAATTTCCTGGCATCTGGTAATTCCTTTATGGCTTCAACTACATATGGTTTCTTCACAGCTAACTTGCCTTTATCGTTGAAAAGCTAACCATTCATTTATTAGGAAATGTGTTACTTTTAAAACCAGAAAAAACATATATAGAGCACCTTTGTCCTTTTCTCTTGGGTTATTTCATGCTTTATTTAAATGTTGGCTGAAGGCTTAGGATTTATCATGTCTGTGTAGTTCTTTTGATTTTAAGAGCTACTCCTTAACATGACTAAGTCACCTTCTGTTTTTACCCTGCAGAGCCAGACCTGTCATTACAGTGGATGTCTCCATCTTCCTCCCAGGCTCCATCAACATCACAGCACCTCAGTGTCATGATGGACAGCAGCCTGTAAACTGCCTGAATGTCACTGTCTGCTTTAGGTTCCATGGCAAACATGTTCCTGGAGAAATCGGTAATGAATCACAGTCAGGGCTCAGGATACCCATCTTAGCTGGAGTAGAACAGCAGGATGATGGACAGCTGGCAGTGTGTTGGAGTTCCCTCTCACTCTGCATCCCAGCTGGCTCTGTCCATGGGCTGGGTATCCTTCCCTCTGAGGTTCCTCCCTTCTCTTTCCTGCTCATCTACATGTGCCAAGTTTCACACATCCTTAAGTTGTAGAACAGATAATGGTGGACCCCAAGCGTCCTTTCCCCAAATGTATATGGATCGAGCTTAAATTCCCTAGACTGTGGATAGGATTGGTTGTTGGACTGGTGGAAATGTCATGCTTGGAGCCTAGTCCTAGTGGAATGCTCCATGCAGTTAGAAAAATGAAGCGATGGGACTTTAAAGGCTCTCCCTTGAGCTTTACTGTGGGATCAGGTTGCAGACTTTTCACAGGTCTGGATTTTCAAAAAAGGGAATTCTGCTTTGGGAGCTCAGAGAATTAAAAGGAGGCAGGTGGTAGCTGTTCCTGGTATTTTCTAGTGAAAGCCCACTTGCTGTCCGCCCCACCTCCAGAAACTGGATTAATCTGCACAACAAGATAGGGTCAGTGTTGATTAGAACTCATAGTATAAGAGTACTTGAAGGACAGGAATCTGGACCACTGCGCAGATTAATTTGTTTTTATTTGAAAGGTTGTATTTTCCAACAACTCTTTCTCATCACCTCCTTCATTATGTAGGATATCATAGTCTTAAGGAAAAAAAGTTTCTGATGGTCCTGAGACTCACATGTCTTTACCAAATACCACCTCAAAATGTAGGTGGAATCCATTGACAGACATTTTCAATGAATAATTAAAAATTCTTTTTATTGTGGTTCTGGGGATCAGTCCTAGGGACTTGACCAAGCTAAATGTATCTACGACTATGGGATACCCTTGAGCTATACCTCTAGCCTCTGGATATTAATTTTGCTGCACATAAGTTATTTTAAAACACTAAAAAAGCAAATGGTTATTTGCTTTTTTAGCAAAAAAGTTCATGTGTGTGTTAATTTGAAAAATATTTATTGTGTGTCTTCATGTGCTAGGTATTGGAAATGTCAGTCCTGCCCTCATAGAGTTTCTAAAGGGAGTTACAAAGAATATCTACTGTTTTCATCTTTTTGGAGATTGAACCCAGGACTATGACACTGAGCTACATTATCTACCCTTTTTAAATTTTGAGACAGGGTCTTGCTTACTCACTAAGTTGCCCAGATGGTGTTTGAATTTGTGATTCTCCTGCCTCAGCTGCTCAGAGTGCTAGGACTGCAGGCGTGTACCACCATCCCCAACTTACTGTTTTCATTTTAAATCAGTATGCACAGCCTTCAGACTCTTGGTCACTGTTGTGGTAAAAATGAAGATAAACTGGTCACACTGACAGAGAATAAACTGAGATGCAAGTCTGAGCAGGAGTGGTTTCAGAGCTTGAGATAAGTGGTAGAACTTGCTGACGTCAAAGTTCATGAGCTGAGTGAGGAGATACAGAGGGCTGTTTTGATTCTCTGCCAGTGGCCCTTTCTGGGAGCCTGCCAGGAATTGGCCTTTCACTGACTACTAGGAGGGATTAGATTGAAGGCCTGAAGTCAGCCATGAATCTTGAAGTAATGGCAGAGTAAGGCTGTCGGATGTCGTGATCTTTTGTGGGCAGCATGAGCAAGCTGCCTAATGTCCAAAGCTAGATGGTGACTGTCCTGCCTGAGTATGCACCTGCCATTTAGGTTACTTCCTTATCCATCTGCCACACGAGTTCATTGATGAAATCAAATTTCCTTTACACTAAAAGGGAAATTGATTCCACATTTAAGAATCAAGTTGGGGCTGGGATATAGCTTGGCGGTAGAGAGTGTACTTAGCATGCATGAGACATTAGGTTCAATTTCTGGAATCTCTTCCCAAAAATCAGGTTTAGAAGGGATGATATCCAGAGAATTTGGGTGTCAACAGGGCTATTGTATCTCTGATGTTTTCCTGTCAATTTCCATGGCTTCTAGGAAAATGAACTATATCTCAGTCTTTGTGAAGAGGGAAAAGTGCAGAAAATCTGCCAGAAAGTGGACTGGTGGTGTAATGGAGAGTCTAGGGAGGAAAAAGTGGGTGACTATTAGAAAATGAGGTGAAGAAGAAAAGCAGCTTGTCCTGACAAGCTGTATAGCCTGTCCGTGGGTGGGTGACCTAGAGCTCAGCACACAAGTAGCCTAGTGGTTGTACAGGATTAGGATGATCAGGTCTCTAGACTCCAGATGGATGAAGAATCAGGGCACCAGCAGCTGAGTTCTAATGAGCCTCCAGATGCCCTAGACTGGAGACCCATTGGTCAACGTGATACTTGGGGTTAATCAATTCCTTGAGATTATCAGAGCCTGTAGGTTTAGAGGAAGGGTCCTGTGGAGCTGGTCTTAAGCCTCTGAGGAGGAAGCACTGGCTGTGGCTGCTAGTCACTCTGAGGGGGTGCATGAGACTGATTTGGGGAGTGCAGGAAGAAAATGAGAAATTGGAGTGAACGTTGGTGGGACCAGCTGCTCTGAAATACTCCTGCTGGCTGGGTGGACAGGGATAAGAACTGGCTGGGAAGGAGCAAAACTCTTCTCCTTCAGCCTCACAGGCTCCCCTGAGCTCTGTGTATGTGCAAAGACTTGTAGGGAGCCATTGGCAAAACAGAAAAGAGGTAGGTCTGCAGGGTCCCAGCCTGTATTAGTCAGCTTTCCTGTTGCTGGAACAAAATACTGACACCTACAATTTAAAAGAGAGAGGTTGATTCTGACTCATGGTTTCCCAGGTTTTTTAATTCATAGTTGACTGGCTCCCAGGGAGAAACCTCATGGCAGAGGGCATGGTGGAAGAAAACTGCTCAACTCATGGCATTTGGGAAGCAGAGAGCAAAGAGAAAAGCCAGAGAGGAAGGGGTCAGGGCCAAAATACAGTTCTCAAGTGGGCCCCATGACCCACTTCCTTCAGCTGGGTCCCACCTCCTAAGGGCCCATTCAGCTATGAACTCATGAATAGGTCAACTCACAGATGAGATCAGTGCTCTTACCATCTAGTCACCTTTTCAGGAATCTCTTAACAAAGTTAGTGACAAGAAGACTGCCTGGCACACAGCCCCAGCATCACAGCAGAGTACAGAAAGATGGGTTTGGAGTTGAGGGACAACAGCTTCCTAAACCAGCACAGCAAGCATCCATGCCACCTTGGGTCACTGAGGCATTCAGGGCGCCTTTTTCCTTAGACTGTTTGCGCGGAGAGAAAATTTTCTGAGCTACTTTTGGTCTCTTGAGAAGCATGGAGATGGGATAATAAGACAAATGCATGTTATTTTAGGTTCTTCAATCAACAAATAGTTATGAAGTCTTACCAAGTGCCAGACATTCTGCTTAGCCACAGGCACAGAGCGCAGAGCTTGCATTCTAGTGGGAGGGAGGCTTGCTGGCTTGCTGTTCTGGACACGTGCTGAGGCCCTTGGTGGAGCAGGCACCGTGTGCTGAGTGCTGGCACGCAGACGCAGATTTCTCCTTCCGACAGTAGGCTCCCTAAGAGCAGGCTTATAACGTATTTCAGCAGTTTAAAGTAAGAATTCTACCTGTCCCAAAGAGTATCATTAATCACTTCATCCTCGGGCTGGGGAACTGCCTAGGGCCTCTCAGGGCCTCTCTGGCATGGAGAAGTTCTTCCCTTCCCCGTGAGCTGTGATAATATCTGCTCACTGGCCAGACTGAGGCCTCAGCGTGCACGTCTGTCTTTGGAAGGTGGGGATAAGGCTGGCAACTTGACCCTCACCGGAATGCTAAATGGAAACCAGAAAGGTTTGATCGATGCCCTCTGTTTCTATGACTCTCAGACCACCTGACAAAGCTGTGAGCAAGAAAAGGTGCCTGCCTTACCTCTAGACAAGCTGTTGCCTCCAGCTCCTGAGAGCCAGCACTAAGGTCACCCACACCAATAGCAGAAATAGGGTTGAAGCCGGGCAGCTTGTTCCCAGGCCCCTTTTCTGCTGTGAGGGGTACATTTCTGTTCAAGAGCGTTTGTGTTCTGTGAGCTCCTTTTAATCCTTTGAAAAACATGGAGGTGGGACAGTGAAGGAAATCCATGTTATGTGAGGAAAGGGGTAACCTAGTCTAGTAATTAATACCTCATTCCTCGGGGAGAATGTTAGGAAAGCTAGTAAGTGGAAATATCCTTTTTTCTTCTCTACTGGGAAGCTCAGAGTAACTCTGGAAGGAGGATTTGCTAGTAGAATTTCGCAGCTGAAATCTTGTTCTGATGGAAAATAGGAATGATTCAGAACTGACTGGGAGAGGCCAGAGCCAGAGTTGATGCAAGACAGCTGGTCCCCTCCTTCCCCGGGCTGGTGTGGGGGGCCCTTGGGAACCAGCTGGGGGCAGGGAAAGGAGGCGGCTGAAAGCATTACTTGGGGCTGATCAGCTTTTCCATCAACATGACATCATTCGACATGGCATGGACACAAGCTGCGAGAAGGAAAAACCTGAAGATGTGAAATGTGCTGCTGGAGCAGGCCCTAATCAGAACCAGCACCTTTGCCCAGACAGGGGGGATGGCTGACTGGCTTGCATTAGGGGTGGCTGCAGCAACTGGGTAAGCCTGAGGGGACCCCCAAACCAAGCAAGCCAACTGGCTGCTTCTCTGGTAAGTCCTCCGCTTTCTAGGAGCTCCTTCCCAGCATGCTTGGAGACATGGGTGGGTGCTGTTTAAAACTACCACTGGAGCTCAGCTTGAGGATGATCTGTACTTCTCTTACCTCTGGCAGCTGTGAGATCCTCCTCACTCAGGCGGGGTCTTGAATCTTGCTTTCTTTTCAGAGAGACAGTTTGATACAGAACTGACTTCTTTGTGGATAATTTAAAATGTCAAAATAAATTTTACGTCAAGGGGGACCGCTAAGTAGACAATTCTAGAGAGGAAATGCTTCCAGAATGATTGTCCTTAGTTGACTGGATAATTTAATCTGTGATTGTGTATTTCAGCACTTCAGAAAAATCTGATAGGTGGTGCTGGGATGCACAAACCCTGTGTGCAGCGGACAGCAGCTACCTCATCTTTGGCTCAACTTCTGTGAACCTTTCTTCCTGCTTTGAGTTTCAAGGGGGATGTATTGTGTCAGTGGCTGTGCAGTGGATGGACCGTGAGGACTACAGATGGTGCTTATAGAGTACACACACAATGCTCCGCATACACTGAAGGCTGAATTTGTTCCCTTTTCCTGACTTGCCCTGTGTTAGTTTGAGGGCAGTGAGATAGCAAGGGTAGGCAGCTGTAGTAGTTGTTAGTCTCCAGAGAAGCAGAATAGTGTGGAGGGAGCATGAGTGAATGTGAGTTGGTTGATTTTAGGAAAGTGGGTCATGAGAGTATAGGGCCTGGCAAAGCCTGAATTCTGCAGGGCAGGTTGGTAGGCTGGAGACCCAGGGAAGAGTTGAAGTTGCAGCTCAAGTCTGAAGGCAGGCTAGAAGCAAAATACTTGCATTTTGGATGGAACCTTAGGGTTTTTTCCACTTAAGATCTTCATATGAGTGGATGAGGCCCACTTGCAGTATGGAGGGTAATCTGCTGTATTCAGTCTACTAATTTCAGTGTTACTGTCATTTAAAAAATATCTTCAAAATAATGCCTGGGTTGGTGTTGGACCAAACATCTGGGTACCGTAGTCCAGCCAAGTTGACGCATGAAATTAACCATCTTGGCAGCCTGGTAGAGGGTGTGTTACTGAGCAGTTACCACTGTGGGCAGATGGAACTTAGACCTGCTGGGGAAGCCTGGCAGTCTGTACAGAAGGTGCCTCAGAGGTATACCACCCCAAGGGCGACGGAACTGAATTCCTTGGGAAAAGAACTGCAGGTGCTGGCAGTAGAGAAATGGTAAAGGCCAAGAGGATGTGAGTGGAAGATTAATACCACCCGCTTAAGTTTCCTGTGTTCCTATCCACCCAGATCTTCTCTAAGCTCAGCCAGCTCCTCTCTGGTAAGACACTTTGGTTCTGCTGTTCCCTCCATTGTCACCAGCTCTGAGACCAGCTATGGTTATCTCACTTGGGAGGAGGGCTGGAAAGGAGCCTCCAAGGGGAGGCTGCCCAGCAGCTGCCACTCCAGCTAGCACCCTCTAGCTTGTCTCCTAGCAAGGTACATCTCCAGTCACAATCTTGCTTGCCAGGACTTTGGTAACTCACTTCATTTAAGTGTCACCTTTGTTAGTCTTGGCTATTGCTCAGGGAAGTTGTGATCAATAGAAGCAAATTGGCCAGACTTCCGTTCTGGATATCTGTGTATGTTTGGTTCTGCTGTTTCTACACTCAAGAAATAGGAGTGTTGGGTCAGTTAATGTAAAAAAGATGCCCAAGACCCAGTGTGGTAGGCATAACCCTGTAGGAGAAAGTAATACAGTTCTCCACCTGTAGTGTATGGCTTTCTGGCCGGGGGCAAGTCATTCCCTTTTGGGATTCCGGTCCCCTCATTTTAAAAATGAAAAGTTTGAGCTAGATAGCCTCTAGTATTGCCTTAAAGCTTTGACAGCTGCAAGTCCACTCCACTCTACCCAACTGGGGTGATGTGTAACACTCTGTGGACATGTGTGTTTTCTCCACTGACGTACTTTCCCATATGCTTTTGTGTATTCTTTTCTTCTTCAGAGTAATGCTATCTACTGTGATTATCCAGGATCCTCATCCTTCCTACTAAACCAGGCTTGCCTTGGAAATCAGCTGTTGCTGGAATAAACAGGCTAGGGCAGATTTGCCCTCCTTGGTCAGGAATCCACCAGCTCAGTTTTGCAAGAGCCCTGGTGTGGCAGCAACTGAGGGAAGCATCAGAAAGATGTCCAGGCACAGTCGCAGGAGGCCTATCCATTCCATGCCACCTTCCTCTCTCCCTGTCCAGACCACCCCCAGGGTTTGGTCCCTTTGATGTTGAAAGCCAGAGCATCTCTGCTGCCCGATTTCCCATAGTGAAAAGCATGGGGCTGCTCCTGATGGTGTAAAGATGTTGGCTTTGAAGAGTTAGGAGTGTGGAGATGGAGTGGGAACAGGGTCCTCCTCTTTCCTGTTGCTCGGCTATCTGGTCCCGTCACTTTAGAGACAGAAATTCCTGTTCGCTTACTGTAAAAATGCTTCATTCTCTAAATCCACAAAACAGTTAAGAAATAAAAAGAGTTACAGAGGGCTTGTCTCTGGCACAGAAGAGCAGTGAAATAGATCTGTTGATGTTAAAGCCACATTTAAGCCAGGTGTGGTGGTACATGCCTACAATCCAAGCATTCTGGGAGGCTGAGGCAGGAGGATCAACAGTTAGAGCCTAGGCTGGGCAACTCAGGGGAACCTTGTCTCAAAATTTTAAAAAGTAATAAAGTAAATGAAAAGTACTGGAAATGTAGTTCATTGTCAAGGTCCTAGGTTCAATCCCTAGTAGCACTAAATCAATTCATATATACCTAACAAAAACATATTGTTATATATTTACTTACAAATTCTGAAGTAATGGGGTGAAACTTTTGTAAAAGGTGAAAGATTTGTATGATCTGAAGAGAAACCAGAGTATAATGGGGTGAAACTTTTGGAGTCAGTCCAGTATGCATTTGACATTGGAACCATCGATTTAAGTCCCAAATGGCATCTCATCAGTTTAGTCACCTGGCATTTACATGTGCAGGTGCAGGTGATGGGTTCTTCTCCTTGAGAGTGGACTTCAGTCACCATGGTCATGGTTTTGTTGGAAGAATGGGCATCACAGAGTATTTGATCACCATGCACAGCTTCCTGGAACTGGAGTTAGTCCAGCTTCTGAGAGCCAGGCACGTGGGCTCTGTGAAGGCAGGTTTTGGCCTGTTGTTCATCATTCCCTCCCCTTGTGCCTACAGTGATGCTTGGCATACTGTTGGTGCTTAGTAAATCTGCACATGACCTGGTGTTTGTGAGATGATGTAGACTTATCAGACGTGATTACTCCCCTATCTTGGATGTATATAACAGTGCTTGGCAGGAGTCAATACCACGTGGCTCCCTGATCACGTCAGCTTCTCAAACACTGTATAGGTTTGCTGTGACATTTATTTATCAGAGTACCGGCCTGTGTTGGTACAAGTAATTGTTGATGTACATGTTGGTGGCTGCATTGATACCTCATGATAGCACAGAGTTTGAGTCACAGAGAGCCAGGAGGGATAACATACAGAACATCATTGGAAAGGCAGGGAGTAGCCTGGTTCTCTCGGTTCTGTGAGTCCCTGGCTGCATGCTCCCATCTGAGGAGGTCTCGACACGAGGCTGCTGAGCTCTGGGGTGGAGGGCTAGGTACCCTGTGTGTGGGGGGAGCAGATGTGGCCTCACCATCATGTGTCTATCTTGCTGATATCTTGATCTTACTTATTGGCAGGTCTGAATTATGTTCTGACAGCAGATGTGGCCAAAAAGGAGAAGGGCCAGCTGCCCAGGGTCTACTTTGTGTTGCTGGGAGAGACTGCTGGCCAGGTCTTGGAGAAGCTGCAGCTGGCCCACATGGAGGAGCAGTGTCATCACTACGTGGCCCATGTTAAGGTCAGTCTCCTCTTTTTATCCTCAAATTCTGGTCTCTGTAGATGTTCATTTGGAACTAGTGGAAGCTACTTTTACTGTGCATTACATATGTTCTGACTTCCCAGATTCTATTTTACAAGGAAGAAAATATTCTTCTTTTTCTTTTAAAGTGGAGGTCTTGACAGCACCTTTATTTATCTTACTGTGTGGGTCTCAGCTTCCAGAGGCTGGTTCACCACTGGTGCTTCCTGACTGACTTGTTTCTTTGAGAAGTTTCTCAGTCTTTCCTCTCTATGAGGCTCAGTAGTCTTCTGAGGGAAGAGCCTCTGAAGCACATGCCTTTGGGTCTGCAATGTTGCTGGATCGCATTGCACCTGATCCTTTTCTCAGTGGTGCACTACATATTAGCTCATAGTCAGAGTTAAGGCATTTCAAAAGTGGTTGGACTAGATTTTCCTTGCTTGATTACTTTATTTCAGGAGGCCTCTTTCCCCTCTTACTCTAAATATTAAACTTTTAAATGTTTTTTTTTTTCCTCTTGAAATTGTTTAACACACTTTACTGCTAATTCAGGAGGCCATGCTCGGATTAGCTACAGAGTGGCCTCTGTGCAGAGTGGGAGTCCTGGCAGCCACTGACCAGCCAGCACGGCCAGAGGGCCAGGAGGTGGAAGGACCGCATAACGGAGGCCACATGGTGGGTGGGATGATGGGTCTTACAGTCACAGAGACCTGGTGTGTATCCAGCTGAATGAGCACTGTGATGTGTTTGTGTATCTGTCTCTGATTCTCTAAAATGGGCACAATAATACCGTCCTTGAAAGTGGTCCTAAGAATTAAACACTACACCATGATTATGTTTAAAAGATCTTGGATGGCGTCTCAGAAATAGCAGGGACTCAATATTATTATTACTTGGTTGGGCTGTACATAATTGCTAATATTCTAACATTTTTTGTTTACAAAAAAGCAGTCTTGTTTGTTTAACCTAATATTAACCAGCGGATTTGCAGCCAATAATAAAAATAGTCTGTAGATTAGAGATGAAATATCTTTCTATTATTGCATTTTTGGTGCCTGAGCAGGGGAATAACAGCTGCTTCTGGGCTGTATGTAGGAAAATGCCCCTGCATCTGTGACACTTGGCTGGCCCAGAGCCCATGTATCCATGCCCTTGAGATTCTTTTCAGTGGGGCTGGGCTGTATCATCTGCCAGAACTCGTGCCGGGGCCTGCCCAGACCAGCTGACCTAGGGTTTGCGATGTTGGCCATTTATAAAGCTGTCCACACTCATGTTAAGCCCACCAGCCCCTGCCCCTGTTGGTCTTAAATTCCTCTGGCTCGTGGGTGCCCTTGAGAGATGTGAGGCTGCTCAGGACAGGCTCACGTGCAAGCACTGCTAGGCCTTTGAGTGACTGTCAGTGGGATCTTCACACTTGCAGAGCACAGGATGTCTTTTCTTGTGTTTCTTTATACTAGATCTGTTCCACCCAGCCTGCTTTCCTTTGGACTTTCTGCAACTTCTTATCCGTTGTTCAGAGCTACCTGAGTCCTCACTGCAAGATAGGGTGTAAAGAGCCTGTAGGCCTTTGCAGCATGCACTCAGGGAGGTACTGGCTGAGGTAGGAATGTTTCTGTGGGGCCGCTGAGAGCTACTGGGGTAAAGCAGGACTGTCCAGGAGGTGTCTTACTACTTCCTGATATCCCGGGTTGCCAGATTTAGCAAATAAAAACATAGGACCCCTAGTTAAATTTGGATTTCAGATAAATGTTGAATGCTTTTCTTTAGTTTAAGTATAGTAGTTCCCCTTTACTCATGGTTTGTCTTAGGATTCAGTTGTTCAAGGTCAACTGAGGTCTGAAATTATGAAATGGAAAATTCCAGAAATAATATTTCGGCTCAGTATGATAGTACACACATGTGTTCCTAGTACTGTGGGAGGCTGAGGCAGGAGGATGACAATTTGGAGCCCAGCCTGAGCATTAGCAAAAGCCTATTTCAGAAAACCAGACAACTAACAAAAACCCCATTCCAAACAAACAAAAAATACTTCATAAATTAGACACTTTAAGTAAATTTTACTGCAGTATATTGTTGGATTATACCTAATTTATAAGTTAAACCTTACCATATGTATATATATATAAGAAAAAAATCATAAGGTTTGGTATTCTCTGCATTTTCACATATCCATGAAATTTGAATATATCCCCTGTGGACAATAGAGGACTTGGTATGTCCCAAAGGAACAATTTGTTGTTTACTTGAAATTTACACTTAACTTGGCATCTTGTTGGCAGATTCTATGGTAGTATTTTCTTTCACCCTAAGTGGCCCTTCTCCATTCAGTCAAATCCTGGCTCCCCAGAAGAGAGATGAAGATGTTGGTGAGAAGAGTCTAAGGCTGAGAACAGGGCTGCGGTACATTTAGGAAGAGAAAGGAGGCAGGCCTGCTTTAGAGGACTGGGACCTAGAGTGACTGGACATAGTTACTGGTCAGCCATGTTTCTCATGTAGGAGGTGAGAGTGGTGGGATGCACCCGGAGGAAACGGAACTCTGAGGCCTTTGTGGTTCAAGAGCCTGACCTGGTGGTGCTTGCCTGTGATCTCCACACTTTGGGAGCACAAGGCAGGAGGATTGCAAGTTCATGCCCAACCTTGAGTAACTTAGTGACTTAGCAAGACCCTATCTCAAAATGAAAATACAAAAAACGTTTGGAGATGTAGCTCCGTGGGAAGGCCCTGCGGTCAATTCCCAGTATCACTGAAAAATGCAGAAAGAAAGAGAGAGAGAGAGAGAGAGAGAGAGAGAGAGAGAGAGAGAGAGAAGGAAGGAGGAAGGAAGGAAGAAAGGAAGAAAGAAAGAAAGAGAGGAAAGGGAGAAAGGAAAGGGAAGGAAGGAGGGGCAGAAGGAAGGGAGGGAGGGAGGAAATTATGGAATAGCAGCGTGGTCAATGCCTTACAGCCACAAGGAAAGTTTTTCCTACTAGTTATCATCAGGGCCGTAGCTAAGGATCTGGGTGCATGGTAGCAAGTAAGAGCATGGATGAATGCTGACAAGTTAGTTAGCTGTCTGCAGTGTGGCCCAGCTGGCCAAGGAGGGCACAGAATGGCCTGTGGTTTACGGGGTTGTGGGAAAATAGCTGTGAGCTGTGGCTTGAGTGGGGGCTGAGGCCAGCAGCAGGGGTGGGGGAAGGGAACTTGTAGCCAGTCACCTCCCAGAGTGGAGACTGGAGACAGGACTGGGAGCTGGGAGTCAAGGCTGAAGAGCATGAGATGGTCTCTACTGCAAGGGCTGGCTCTCAGCTTCATAGACAAGTCATGGAAGATAAATAAAAGCGTTCTGGCTTATCACACACCATATGGCCAGCAGACAGTGAGGCAGCCATTGGGGCCGAGTATGTTTTGTTTAGGCTGTCTTTAGGTCTTTTTTTCCTTTTTGCCTTGAATCCTATTCCAATCTTTTTTTTTTCTTTTTTCCCCTAGAAGTTTTCGCTCCATATATGGTGGTAAGTTATCCGTTGCAGAGGCCTGCTTGGACTAACACCTGCCTCTCAAGCTAGCTCTGTTGTATCCTGCTTTGTTCCGTTCCCCACCCTGGTGGGTCCTCCCAGAGGTCCAGAATTTTGTAATAAGCCACATCCTCTTTCTGCAGGCCTGACTGTGGTCAGCAGTGCTGAAGCAGATCTAGTCACTTCCTTGGCCTCTCCTCAGATTGTCTGTGCACCCCAGCCTATCTCTGCTTCTCCGCCAGGTCAGTCCAGTATTGGGGTTGGTGAAGTGGGCTGGAGACCTGGTGGGTGCCATGTTTGCAGGTGAAAGCCGAGACACCTCCCTTCACCCTCCAGGTTTTCTCTCAGGCTTGACATCAGTTTTCCTTTCCAGCGTAATCTCCTAGGATCATGTCACATGTGCCCTGGCTCCTGAGCTGTTCTCTTTCCTCCCAGAACCTGCCTCTCACGCTTCCCTGCCTTGGTTCATGGATTTACCCTAGCCTTTCTGGCTCTTCACTCTGTCAGAGACCTGGTTCTTGTGACATCCATGTAGAACCACTTCCTACTTGCATGCTTTTGTACTGTTTTAATTGTAAGCAGGAAACTCTTACCTATTTTATTCCATATATTCTCTTTAAATCAGTTGACTTTTAGTCTTGTCCAATAAGATGAAGCAAAAACATTATGCCCTTCTATAAACAGAAAATCAGTTATCTGCCCCAAACAGAAAGGAGCTGTGGCAGTAAACACATTGATGACCAATAGCATCACTGAATTCTAGCTGTATTTCATCCTTTGCCAGTCTCTGGAGAGGTCCGCCCTCCCTATGTGTTAAGAAGCGAAATTCACAGGGCACCACAGTGGAACCTTTTCCTAAATGCAGTCAGAAGAACTGAAGGGGAATAGCTTCAAATGGGTGCTGCTATGGAGCCATGTCTTTGTGCCCCTGGGAAACCCTAGCCAGGCTGTAAATTGATCAGCTGTGCCTTGCCTCTTATGGCTTCCTGTGGGTATGCCTGTTCTTCAAAGCTTAGTCATTCCTCAGGTCAGGGCCAGCCACTGGTATAGGCCCTAGGCGAGCCATCTTCATCGTCCTATCTTAGAGAGGGCTCCGTGCTGCCTTGGGGTGAGAGGCACAAAACAAATACTAGTCAAACAGAACCTTGTGGGAGTGGCTAATAAGCTCAGCTGGAGTTTAGGGTCACAGAAAGCTTCTGATATGGAGTGGACCTTGCTCACCTATCTGTGGACCATCTGCTGGGAAGTGATGACTTGAGAAGGTAGAGAAGAGTTTTGGATGGATGGTACATGCTGAGAAATAGACAGTGTCTTCTCATCGCTTTGTCATTTTCTGGCTTATGTGTATTTATTCAAATGACAACTGTGCTGCATCCTCAGATCCTGCATGGTACCTGGAAAGGGTGAGCCTTGTGTGAGATCACATGCTAACACTGAACAGGAAAGCAGCAGCCTCTTCAGGAAACCACAGTGTCAGTTTTGAGCCTTATGCAGGCTTGGAGGGGAAGC